GTCCTCCATAAGGCTAATTCTCTAGAGATAATTGCTAGCACATATCAGTAGTCCAGCATCTAAAACAACACACTGATTTTGAAAGACGACCTCACAGAACGTGAAGCTCATCTTCTGCAGGCTGTAATGTCTGATACGGTGCAGAAACAGGTAAACCTCCTCGGGCTGGAATGCAGTCTTAAATAAACAAATAAAGAAATGGTTTGCCAAAAAGCAGCATTACCCATCCTGCCACCATTTTAGGACTGATCTCCAGCCATTATTTAGGACGATTAGATCACGTTACAGCAGTTTATGCACTGCAGTTTTGCAGAGCACACTGAACCAAAGGCAAACACAGTGTTTTAAGCAGATATTCGCTCTGTTCCCATTGACGTCTGCTGGATGCTGCTGCACCACATGACATCCGCAGAGACACAAGCATCCTGAAACGTTTCCCAAAAGTGTGATTAGAGTCTGTATGGCAGTTATTTGGTATTATGACCTGACCAATAAAAAAACACTAAGATGAGAAATTTTAACACTGTTTTAAAGCAAAGCGCAACCATTCCACCAGCTCGAACCAATCTTCTCTGCTCCAGCATTTTTGTTAAGGTACTGAAAAAGCTAAGAACAAAAATCTATGACCGATTTCAGTCAGCAGCAGAACTCATTTGCCATCCCAGAGCTCTCTCAGTTCCTGCTGTTCTTTATGGCAGCCAGCGGTTCCCTGGCTTGCACAGAACTGCTGGCAGGCATGGTGCCCTGCAACAGGAGTGGCCTTGTGCAGAGAGCCTGGAGCCTCTGCAAGCTGCCACCAGAGAAAGGAGACATTTTTTCCCCTCTCCTACTGGGGTGACTTCTCCGCTAAGCCCAGCCCAGGCCCTGCTGCGCTCTGGCCCAGTGGCCACTCGCCATGAGCTATCTGCAGCCAGAGGAAGCTGACTGTGGCCGGCCACATGAGATACAGAGCTCTGCTAATCTCAAACCCTGGTTTGGACTGATTGCCTTTGCAGTGTCCGCTCTGGGGATGAAAGCAGTCACCATGAGGCGTGAACAGGAAAAGGCTATATGAAAGGAGGGAAAAGGAAGAGCCCTGCTGTTCTCACCACTCCTGCATCCTCCCCTCCCTCCCCCATTTCCTAGCATAAAATACCTGACAGAATAGCAAAGATAAAGGAGAATAGCTGATCAGATAAAGGAGAAAGTCTCTTCTTCCCAATCGAGAACAGACTCCCACAGTTTCACAAAATATTTCAGCAGCTTTTAAATAAACTCTTCACTACACTACATTCCCATATTTGATCTCTACACAGCAATCTATTCAGCAAAATCCCTTCATTCTTGTTGGAAGAACTGCATAAAATTCATTGGCTTTCTTTGAGTTAGAAGAGAGTAAAATAGAGTTTTGGGTACAATTTTTTGCTGGTTTCTGGTAACATGTAAACACTCATCTTGCAGCAATGACTCTTTCCAACCTTTTCCCTTTACTGGGATATCTAGCTGTTTTAGAATCTCCATACTGCATTTCTCATAACAATAATAATATTTGTTCCACAATAAAATTTGTTCCTGTGGCCAAAAAAATCCAGTAAAAAGTAGAGGTTGTTCTAGTTATTCAGCTGTTCCATTACCCAGCCATCAAGATGAAAGTTTCAATATATTTTTGGAAGTACTGAAACAAGATAACTTGGTTACATTTTTAGAAAAGCCTATTTGCTTTTGCATTTTTTTGAACAGTCTATTTGAAATTACAAGAAATCTTGGACAGATCATAGCCAGAATTCTAAAGGTAAACAGTAAAAATCGATCTTTATCTGGAGATATCGAAACAATTGGTTCTTGTACTGAAACACCTCTTTATGTTGATTTCATATGGGGGAAACAGAGTAAGGAAAACAATTTGGCTAAATTGAGCCATTCAAAGTTCAGCTAAGTCTCTTTAAATTAATGTAAGTGCCCATTTATTTATGATTTTATATCAAAATCTGACCCTTGTTTCTAATGGCATAAACAAAAAGGGAGTTTTATGAATTTGAAAGTCTGGAAGGACTGTGGACTTAAACAGGGTTGAACTACTCTCCAGAGTTAACACTTAACAAATGACTATTGCCTAGTAGAAGTATCTAACAGTGAGATAGAAGCCAGTCATTTTATTTTTATAAATATTTGAAATGAACGAGTGTTATTTAAACAAGAGAGATGAAAAATACAAATACCACCCAGAAACTGAAGCACAATATTTTGTTGGAACTAAAAGAAGAAACTGATGCAAGCATGAAAATAATGAAACCCCAGCAAATGCAATTTTTTAAGAACAGATTTCAAGAAAGTTCTAAGAGAGTACAGTTGGAATCTAAGGAAAGGATCCAGTTTGTATTTAATTTTATTCTAAAGAAGTTACACTCATTATTCCTACGTGCATCTATGTCTGTGTCACAAAAATGACAACTTAAAACATACAATAAAAGTCAGCATAGGTCTTCAAGAGATTCACTGCCACAGCTGGTCCATACAATCCCTGGTTCAAGAGCTGCAGGTAGTCAGTGAAGCCTTTGACCAAGCCTGAAGCATGAGGCACAGCATCATCCCAGGCTGAGGGAGCAGTAGCACAACTGGTCTGGCCAATGATGCACATTGATCCACGCTAGCTGCAGAGAATAAGGTCCCCTGTCCAGACACCAGGAGAAACAAAGGTAAAGAACAGAAGGAAGAGCAAGAATGCTAGCGGGGAACGTAGAGGGGACAGAAGGGAGAAGTGAGACTGTCAGAATGAATAATGAGACGCCAGCTCACAAGAAAACAGACCACATTCTAAGATTCACAGAATTCCTTGTTTGAACAATAATCCCGTAGTCTCTATCTTTTCCTAGTTATCCTCCCTTCAAAACTATTGAAAATGGGAAGAAAAAAAAAGAAAAAAAGACTGAGAATAAAAGCCCAACAAGGGATGGATTAGAATAATGGCCAGATTCTGCACCATACACTTGAGCAATGGGAAAGAACAGAAGGTCACCAGGCTTTCATGGGATCTCATTTGCTATTTAGTAAACACTTCTAATTCCCCTGAAGCGACGGCAACCTTGTAAAGACCTTATGAAGCCACAGTTCTTGTGAATGCTTTGTAACATTATGACTCCTAAGTTGGTACCAAGCCTCACCGATTTCAAAAACTGCAAAATGCTCAATTTTTAGAGGTAGGTGTGCATGATATGCTGTCCTGAAATAAGGTCCTGCATTTAATACACAAGCTGAGCTTCCTGAAATATAAACAGGAATTCAGGAGAGACTACTCATCTCCTAGGAATTTACTCTGTAATCTTCAGCAAATCTCTTAATCTTTCTATGCCTCCATTCCCCATATGTAAAATAGGGTAATAATGTCTGTTAAGACAAGAGTTGTCATGTGTGTCCTCTTTTTTAAAACGAAGTGTCTAGAAAAGCCTCTGGTAAAAATGTTAAAACCGCTTCTGTCACATATTAATGAAAATATTTATTTTGTCATCCAGAAGAAAATTGTTAAAAACAGTCTTGTTCAATGTCAAGCCTATTAAATAGTTTCGTTCTTAATAAGAATTGATTGTGCTGAATCCAAAGCTTTACTTTAATAAAAGTTAGCCTTATAAATATACTAGCAATCTATAGAGGTTAAGTCGGTTTCTTCCTGTATTATACAGGTAGACATAATTAGAACCACAGACATAAAGCTCAAACTAAGGTGAGACTATGGCTAAGACCACTTTTCAGGTAACTGCTGAACAAATTACAAGGATTTGTATTTCACTGTCACACATTCAGTACATATCACAAATGACAAATACATATATGTACATGGGCTGCTCTGAAAATAATGCCTCCTATTTTATGCTGTCAGCCCATGATATCAGAGGCAGGTGTTGGTCATACGGCAGCAGAAGTTGAATCTTACCACATATAATCTGTTACATTTCATTGCCATGCAACAGATGGCAGTAGAGGGGCAGTCTGACAAAATGGCATTCTACACAGAAGTGCACATGAAGTGTGTCATTGAATTCCACCAGTGTGTCACTGAATTCCTCCCCGTGGAAAAAATGGCACCCACTGACATTCATTGACACTTGCTGAACGTTTATGGAGAACAGCAGATGAAAATACAGGGAGGTGTTGGTGGTACATTTCAGCAGCGGTGACAGCAGGTCACCTCCATTGGTGCAGGTTTTTATGAGCATGGCATGCAGGCCCTTATTCATTGCTGGTGAAAATGCATAGCTAATGGTGGCAACTATGTAGAAAAAAGTGCTTTGTAGCCAAAAATTCGCTCTATCAAATAATGTTATTGTGCTCCTTATGTCTGTTGTCATTTCCATGGAAATCAATAGGTCACTCTGAAAGTAACGCATCTTACGTAACTTAGATGAAGATAGAAGTGCCATGGCAAACTCAGTGGCTACATAACCCCTTATGTCCTTTTGACTTTGATCTTTTCCACAGATTAAGATATGTTTAATCAAATCACATTAGTCATTTCCACTTTGGTATTAAACGAGACAACGGAAAAAAATTGGAAGAGACTTCAAAAATGGTATACTTGCTAACAGACAACAAGCCAGCCTGACAGTGTAGTGAAAATCCATCACACATTGATATGAGTTTGGATTCTGAGCTGCAGCCTGAGCTGTTGAATCACCAAGGCTGGAAAACTGGCAAAGGCATAACGCTGCCCTCCTAAAAAGGGAGTGGGGTACTGTGAAAGAACTCCTGGCATCATCCTCAGGGGAATATTTTGGCTCATGCATGGACTGGCTTCAACAAGTTCAGAAGGAAGCTATGCTCAAGCCTTCTACAGGGGAACATATTTTACAACATGGGGCCTTTGATGAGACTCTGGGAAGGAGTTTAGAAGACGCCTGAGAGAGAAATGAAAGTATCTTCATTTTCTCAATTTATGGTACCAGATCTGACATACTGTAAGCTGTGAGCTCTAAAAAGTTTAAGATTATAAGAGAACTTTTATAATTCTGACATTAGCATTACAACACTCAAGTGAAGAATTACATTATTTATTATATATTACATGCATTTTAGACACTGATTCATAATCATTTGTTTGCACAAGTTGTCATTCTTAATGTACAAGTAATAACCGTTGTTGCAGTGAAAGTCAGCAGCATGCACTACACACACTTCTGTGTGAAGTTATTGTTTTCAGCTAGAAAATTCCATTAAGATTTCTAAATGAATATTGTACATACAGTTTAATTTTGGTTTTATGCAGACATTGCATAGATGATCATTAGCTTCTCATGAGAGGCTGGAAATGCAGTAGAGTATTGTTGAAGCAGATCAGGTAACAGTAGCAAACAAGAAGATTTGAAGAAGTGGCATAACCTTCAGGGTTGAAAGGTCAGCAAGAACAGCCTAGGAAAAAACCCAAAAGGCTTGTTAAACTTGGCATTTGAATCACATTTCTTTAAAGCAGCTAACGAAGTCAGAAAAAGATTCAATATTGACTCATAACAATAGTTAGTTTCAGATCTGACTAGAAACAAATTACACTTGTTTACTTCAGTATGCCAAAAACTTCTCTTGCCTTATTTTTCATCTTAACACTTGAAAGAAGAAGTATATGCTTACATATATAAAACGAAGTAACTTTATTTTAGCCTTTACTCTTACTTGAAGTATATAGGGCATCAAGCGGTCTAACATTTCAACTTGCTTCTAAAAATAATTGGGAATTAAGAATCCTCATCCTGTGGCTTGGCTAGTACTTGTGAGGCAAGTCCAATGTAATGGCTCAAGGAGTCAATGTCTTCTAAAGAAGTATGTTTAAATAAAACAAAACGAAACAATCACAATCTCTCAAAGTTAAAAAAATATGTATTACAAGATTTTTGGGAAAAAAAATCTATTTTTAACAAATTAGCACAGATAAACAATAATAAACTTCATCTTGAGGTTTTGTTTTTTTTTCCATTTCCTATCTGTACAATGATACTACTTGCAATGAATTTTCAGATTCAATATTAACAAAATTAGTTTTGTTAAATCTTTGTAATATTAAAAAGCACAAAGCAGCTACAGTAAAATATACTGAGAAAAAAGTACAAGTCTCCACAGTAGTTTTAAAAACAATATATCCTATTAACATATTTTGAGAATAAAATAGAAAAAAGCGCTAATTAAACAACAAAGTTTGATAACTTCACATTTCTGTAACAAATCTACTTCTACTTCCATTTACTCCAGAGAAGTAGTATTATGTACTGCATGTTCAAAATTTATCTAGTTTTTATCTAAGATAAGAATTTAGGCAGAAACATTTGCACTATGTACCACGTGCCATGTGAGGCTTAGGTTACTGTGGCTGGCAAAGCATCAGAAACTATTTCAATCTCCTCAAAGTGAAACTTATCCTTACTTCAGCTGCAGCCAATGATGTCACCTCCATCAGGTTCACTGCTCGGAAAGCAAATACAGCAGCTGCCAGGACTGGAAGGAAAAGAAAAGCCAACAAACCAATATTTACGTTGATGACCTATTGATTAGTGGTTAGGATTAATCTATTAATCTTGATCTAAAATATCAGTTTTCTCTCCCCAGAAGAATTAGTTTGATTTTGAATAATAATATACTGTGAATGTCAGTGTCTGAGTTTCTTTGGCTATTCACTAAAACTGACAGGACAACAAACATCCTTTCAGAAAAGTATGAGTAAAAATGCTTGTGTTTAAGATGAATCCCTTTTAACTGCAAGGAAACAAGGTGATTTACAATTATTTCATTACGTAAATCCAAATTATTGGCTTAGAAAATGACTACAGTTCTAATTGTGAGCACTATATAACTCGAAAAAATGTTAATTCATTTTGAAATCTCTTATATAGGTATACATATCTACATAGCTGTCTCTTACAAATGGAACTAAAACTACCCTTCTGTTCACATTCCTTGTATTTAAATTGTGATCCAACTGAAGATACGTATAACTTCTTTGGAAGCCTCTACCTTGCACAAATCTTAGGACAGAGTTTCCTTTATAAAAAGTAGAGAACTGTCAAAGTCTCATAAAATACAAGGTTTTAAAAAAGAATTACAGCAAATCAGGACAACTCTCAGTTGTGCTAAGTACTGAAGACATACTCCCCATAAGATTAATGCTGTATTTTGTGAAAGGTGATGAATTCAAATCTTAATCATTGCCGCATCAAATGCTGCCACTGAAGGTAGAACATCTTATGCTCTGTTCAGAGCACTACTTTTGGACTGCTACCACAGAAAACAATTATAAAAAAGAAATACATTTTAAAAAATCACTTCATGTTTTTGTTAGAGGTGTGGTATTTATACCATTTCTAAAAGGTATTCTCTTTGACTTGCAGTTCTCTTGTAAGTTCTCTTGTAAGGCAAATACATGTTAGCTCAGTCTATTTTGTGACATCTACATGGACTTACCAAACTTTGTAGAACTAATTCCCTTACCAGCAAGAATTTCTAGGGAGTTGTACCCCAGGATTCTGTCCCACAGGAGCAGGAGCTGATCTGTAGCTAAATAACCAGAAAATGCTCGTACCATCCATTTAAATGAAATTCGTAGCCTGCAAACAAGCAATAAACAGTAGCAGTTAGATTTTTCTCTCTCCCATGATTAGACAAATTCTCTATCACCGAAATATTCTGACCAAACAATTAAATTAGAATGATCCTCAGCTTTTATTACTCCAAACGTTTCATCAGTTTCTGCTACTATTATGAATATTGATTGTAACAGTAAGATTTTCACATTCCATTGCACTTGGTGCCATGAGTATACTACAGAGAATGACAACCACCTGCTCTCTTCTCTTCCTGCAATAGTTTCTGCTCTAATGAGCATATCACAATGTAAATAAAAATAAAAATATTCTACTCTTCCTTTAGTTCGATCAGATCTGATGTGAATTATTAAAACTTAACCTAATAACACTTATTTCTTATATAAACACAAAGAGCAATTACCCTTTCTTTTTCATAGAACATACTGAACGAAATGCCCAATGTACATACACGATGTTAGACAAAGGACTCCAAATTACTTTCAAGGAAAATTGGCACATCCATGCCTGCAGTTTGGAATAACTTTTCATGGTTTTTAAGTTAAAACGCAACAGAACAAGCAGCATCTTAATGACAATTAATCCATAACATTTATATCAAGTTAGTAAAGATATACTTACGGCTGAGCCCCAATTTCTCGAAGGTGATAAAAGAGCTGAGGCAGATGAGTTTGTAGAAGAGTCTCAAACAGCAAACACAATGACACAATGCCCTAGTGAAACAAGATCACATCCTGAATACTAACACTCATGCTGTCAAATCTGAAAAAACAGTACGGGCACATAAGTATGCATGAGTTTTTAATTCAAGAAATAAAACACTATTAACGATACAATATACAGTTTAGAGTTGCTTCATGCCCTGCTTACCTGATGTCTTCAGTCACTAAAGCTAAAATTTTATATATATATTAGCAATGTTGTACGTTCTGATAGCTCCTTTCAGCTCTCAGCTGCATGCCAGAATTTACTTTGAATGTCCTACTTGAAATATTTCCACTTTCATATTAAAAAAAGGAGGATGTGAGAAATAGATAACAGCAATGGGGACAGTTAAAAAAAATACGCATTTTAAAGTTTCTTTAAGAAATTACCACGAAAGGTAATAGATACTTGTCCAACCAGTTTCCCCACTATTAATGACTGAAGGCACGATGGCCAGCCTCAAAACAGTATATTAAATATAAGGAAAGGATTTTCTTTTAACCAGGAAATGCTTCAAAAAAGAACTATTCAGCCTTTTGTGAGGGGAAAAAGAGAAAAGCATCTACTATGTTCTACTCTTAAAAAATAGGAGATTAGCAAAAACTTCTACAATTGTCTTACAGTTAAGACAGCTGGCTGTGAATGCAAAGTTATTTAAATTGTCTCTCCAGTATCTAATAATGACAAAAAGCATATGCTTTCATTCAAAGATGATTGAGTTAAAGAAAGAGACATTAACATCACTTCGCTGAAAAGATATCTGTGTATATTTGACTACCCAATAGCTCATCTATGCTAGAAAGCACTTAAGTTAGCAATTGCATGTCATCAATGAAAACAGGACAGAATATGTATTTACATAACAGCTTGAATTAAGAAGCCTAATAAGGAAAGTACATGATTTCATAAAGTGCATTATGTTCTGTAGCAAAGACTGAAATTGAGACAGAAAAAGATATCAAACGCCTTTCCCAAGCTTGCCTGAAATATTTTATTACATTATAAGGATATATTTAGTCACAGAGAAAAATTATGCCACTGTATAATATTGTTCTATAGCAAAGAAAATATTAAGTGATTGGATTTTAATTCCTAATGAACTTACAGAGGGATGAGAAGAGATGGAATGGAGTCTGAAGAAAAAACGCACATACATCTCACGGAATATCTGATACAATTTGGCAGGTTCATGATACAGAAAACAAAGTGGAGCAACTGAAAGGATAAAAGAATTATAATTGACACAACGCTGTAAACTGTGAAAAGAATTCAATGGTTAGAGGCATGAAGTATGGTGAAAACCATATAATACATATCAGCACAATTTACAAAACTTATGCTTTAGTTTCTTATGAAAAGTTTCTTTTAAAAACTTATGCTTTATAGTTTCTATAAACTATTCAAAGATTGTTAAAATAATCTACCATTTAAAGTATGAAGTTCAGCAAGGGAATACAATACATTCTAGCATACAGTTTTTAATATTTCAAGAATCTAAACTACTTACAACCTGCATTGTGTGAATACATTCTCTTACGTATATAAATTAGAGAAGATGGCTTACTAAAAAATAACGGTGCTTGTGTATGAAAGGCAGCAGCACTAAGGCAAAGTGAGATGTTCAAAGAAATATTTACTTTGGGTTGAGAAAAGCAGAGGGTCTTACTAGTGTGTATGTGTAAGGATTGAAGACTGAGGTGAAAGAGTTGGCAAAGTGCTTTTGTACATAAAGGCCAGGAGGATAATGAGAACAGTGCCTGACAGGTGGCACTGTATGACAGTATGTGTGCAAACATGCAAATGTATACGACATTTACATCAGGTCCCAGGTAGCTCCACCTAGAGCAGCTGCTTGGTCTCAGCTGCTGCATGCACAGCTTGGATTCATGCTATAATGTTTCTCTGCCTGCCTTTTTAATCTCTCTCATTCTCACAGCCTGTCTATTTTGTGCCCTTTCCAAGTAAAAGGGGAAAGCAGGGAGGGAAGAGGCTCGCACCCAGTTTCATAACACTGTTCTAAAGGGTAGAGTCAAATCCAAACATTTTGAAAAACAGTTTCTCATGGAAGAAATTGAAAGCCTCCTAGTGAACACTTAAAGAGGAGTGTATAACCAAGCTGCTTCTTACTTCAGAAGACATTCCCCATTCAGGTCCAAATTTCCATTTCATACTTAAATTGCCTTTTATCTATGATAGTCAAAGGAGTGGGATCATTAAATTTTATTAGTAGCTGTATAATCAATGAATATAAACATGTTATAATTATGAAAAAAAAAAAAAAGAGTTTGGTAAAGCAGATTATAATAACAAAAAAGAGAATAGATAGAATGCCTACCCACATCTTGGGCTCACTGTAAAACTCCAGAGGAGGGATCTCCAGAAGAGATCCTTCCCCACTGGTAGTCAGCTCTTAAATGGGTCTAGGAGAGGTGCAGCCAGGCTCCACTCCTTCTGGCAGCACAGGTGAATTGCCTTCAGCTGTGCTCCGGTGGCTGACGCATTGCTTGCCTCAGATGATCAATCAGAGGTTCAGGCCATGATTCAGCAGTTCCCATATAGTAGCTAAATATGGCATTTTAAGGATAGTCTGGATAGTCTTCTCTGCTAGCCCAAATACCACTGTTACAACATCCTGCACCGCACCCCCCCCCCCAAACCCCCCCCCCAAAAAAAAAAAAAAACAAAAACAAACAGACCAACACCATCACCACCACCACACCAGCTCTGGAAACCCGTAACACATACTCTCATGGTGTCTGAGCACCTCTCTGCAGTACCTCTGCTATATAACATGTCTTGATGCCTTGTTACATCTGAGAACTGGGGGATTTTTCTGCTGTCTTCCTGGAAATCTTGTTGATAATCAAGCTGTCCTCTGTGCAGGGCAACAGCAACCAACCTATCACTTAACAGTCCTTTAACTCCTATTCGAAGACAAATACAGCAGCAGGCCTTTCACATAATTCATGTTTTTAAGACTGACAGATAAACTGGTCTACCTAGAAGACACGAAGCATAAGAGAACTCTGCAAATGAACTTTGTCCCTCTAGTCATATACATTAAAATCTACTTTTGACTTGGAGGCTAACAGCTCAGTGATTAGCTCTCAAACAGCATATGATATAAAATCATAATGTGAGGAAGCAGAAGCAGCTTGGAAGAATCACATACAACAGCTTTTGTATACACAAAAATAGAATATAGAGAGCAATTTACTTACAGAAAAGTACATACAGCCTTAAACTACGATACAATAAAAAGAAATCCCTGACTGTTAAGTATCACACTTACCATACATAGAAAAGCCATGAAATGGGATGACACCTAGAAAACAAAGATTTCTTTTACTATTCTTCTTCTAAATTGTTTTTTTATCCATGCTAGAAATGTATTTTTATCCAGGTATCTTCCCTCTGTTTCTAAATTGTATTCTGCCCACTACAGGGACAAGATATAGCTTTGTTATAGCACCCACAGTCTTAGATCTCTAGCTTGTATCTAAGTATTAGGTAATAATACTTAGATATTAGATAAATTAGATTATTTACTTCACTACCACCAACAGTGCACCGTAACACATGCTATAGTTCCTAGAAAGCCATGTAAAGCTGTTTCCATGAAGTTACTAAGGATAAGCTCTGATGAAATCAGAACCTAATTTCAGTTAAATGACAACCAGTAAATGTCACGCAGTGACAAGGAGGGAGCTGGAAAAAAAAAAAAAAAAAAAAAAAGGCCAAGACTTCCAGTAACTTATAGTTACTTATATAGTACTCAGACAAAACATTTAGAGGAGTTGGCAGCTGTATGACAGTTCTCTCCTCCTTTGCAACTGATCTCAGCTCCCATTCATTAATTTTCCACAGGACCAATGAGAGGGAACTGTTTTGACAAGAGGTCATAAGGACCTTCATGGCTATAAAGCTGCAAAGAAATGTGGAGGCAAAAATGGAAGAAAGGGGAGCAAACAAACATGCTATCACTGACATCACTGGGACAGAGAAGGCACAGAAGGTAAGGTCAGAGATAAGGATATAAGATTGGTGATGTGAGACCTTGAAAGCAATAGCAGTGAGCTTGAGTTTTAAATGTGGCACAAAAATAGGGTGAGGTTTCAACAGATCAGAACTGAAATGATCAAAATAAAAGCTGAAGAAAAAAATATTAACAACTGATGTAACAACTGCAATGATATTGATTTAAAGTTGATTTGTTAGATCTGAATTTCTAAAATGAACGCTAATTTTGAAAGGAAAAGGGACTTTCAAACATGGTGTACAGAGCATTGAAAAGCTGGGGATCAGGATGTATCTTTCAGATCCTCTACGTGGATGATCCTCTGTCACTGGAGTACAAGCTGCCGCACCAGAAGTTGCTTTCCCTCTTTCCCTGTAGTAGTGACAAACTTCATGTCACTATTAACAACAGGCTAACTGTGCTTCTGCATTAGCTTCAGTCCAACTTAATCCTTTAAATTAATGAATTTGGCATAATAACTTTGAAACAGAAAAAGAGGTTAACATGTATTTGAGGAAAAACATATCCTGTACCTTTCCAATCTACCGCTAGAGGAGGCAATAGTATCATTCTTACCATTTGGTGGATAGAAAACAGCATACTCTTCTATTCCAAGTTTTCCTGTGAATCATCAAACAACAATTAAAATGCAATGCAATTGTTAAAAGGTGTATAGATGTAAGTGAAAAAACAGATTTAAGTGACAATTATAAAAATTATAACTACAAGTGTTACTGATCATTTGACATTGTCCAAAAGCATGTAAGCAATGCAATAGGACGAACACACTCTCAAATGTAAAACAAAAAAGCAGCACCAACAAGGCAGGATGATAAACAACCGAAAAAAAAGAACAAGAATTTTGATTGGGGTGTAATATTACAGAGCTCTAAAGGTGCTTGCTGCAGTCCCTGAAGACAGTTAAGTTAGAGGGAAAAGTCTGTCAAGCTGATTTAGGGACAGGAAAGTCACTTAAAAAGGCAGAAGAACACCAGATAAAAACAGACAGATAAAACACCACATATTTAGGACTTCATTAAGTGTTCAACAGAGAGGAAGATGCATGGTACAGCTGTGATAAATCAAAACAAAAAAAAAGTGATCTATTGGATACAAAAGAGTAATTAAGACAAACGTTGACTATACAGATTAAACATGCCAGTTTTCTCTTCCCTGCAAAATGAACATCTCACATTAGTCAACAGTATTGTAAATCTGCTATAAAAATTTTCACAATTTATTTAGCACTATAAAAAAGGTTTTTAAGCATTTTACAATTACTTAAAAACTTTTCTTTATTTCTCTGTTTTAAAATGAGAAATTCAACTATTACAATTTATGTGAAAATGTATAGGATATTCACAGGTCCTGCAGATCTCTTTGCATTTTGTTCTTTCTACACAGAAGAACGGCACAGGAACTTTTGCCAGGTTCAAATTAATTTGGACTTAAATATTTTCCTATAGAACAAATTGACAGAATTAAATTCAAAATGAATCTGTGAAGCTCTTGCCCCCTAACCATGAAAACAAAATCCAGTATTTTCCAATTACAAAAATCAATTGTTTCATTAAAATACCAAGTAATTTTACTTTTCCTTTCAATTGTTTGCTTGCCTGTAACTGGGAGTGTAAATTGGAAGGTGATTATTTTTAGCATGAAACATTTCTCTTGGAAAATTAGCCAAAAATAGGACCTACAAGCGTTGCAGATTTATGCTGCACATGCTCAGCAAAGACTTAGATTTCAGCAACTTCATTCTTCAGATCTGCTTTGGAATAAATAGAATAGTAGTGTTTCTGGGCTGCCATGGCTCTATGCTTGAAATGAGACCCAGACCCCACTGCTGTTCTGCTCTCAGGTGAGCCCCTTGCTAGTTTCTGGCAGTAGGTAAAGTAAGCTGCTTAATTCATTCAAAGAGAGAGAAAAAAAGACCTACAAAGCAATAAGAAAGGAAGAAAAAAATAATCACAAAATAATCATTGGCTCTAGTGACACACGTAGCAGCACATGGAAAACAAAGTGTGCAGAGTTTATGCTAAAAAAAAGTACTTGGTATCCACTAGGTTACATATACCAGAACTAGGGACCAAGGAAGAAAATGGTAATGGAGAAGGTAAATCTAAATGAAATATATATATTAAAAAAAAAAAAAAAAAAAAGGCATTGGATGGTTGAAGGGTTCAAGGAAAAAGACAAAATAGTGAACCTCTGGGTAAAGCCAAAGGAGGTGCTGATCTAAGAAGCAACACAGTAGAGCTCAGAAGCACGGCAGAAGCTGGCTGAGAGGGCAAGTGGACTGAAGTGATAAATTTAAGACTATTAAGTTACCAAAAAAAAAAAAAAAAAAAAATTCAGATTCAGAGAGAAATAAATCCAAAGGCAGGGTAAAACTCTGGAATACACAGTGCAATGAAAAAAATCTATGTAAGCCTGCTTGGTAGAGCTGTACTCTTCCATCCTATGTAACAGAGCCTAATGTTCTTCAGCAACGTGTTCTGTTCCTGTCTACAAATACCTTCCAAATGCACTGCTTTGGGAAGATAACACTCTACCCCCTCTCCCAGTTAGTAAATCTGTTGAAGTTGCTGAGGACAATGATGTATATATAAATTTCTATCCCAGCTGATGACAGATGTCACAATTCTACTATACTGTCATAGATGGGGTTTTAATTTATTTTGGAAAAGCATTGAATAATTACACACAGAAAACTACCATAAAATTACATCACTGCAATCTGGGTGTAATGCAATAAGTTTCTAAACTGCAGTAATAGAACCTGTGAAGATGTCATCTGGATGCGTGATGTTCCTTACTGATATTCTTTTAAATGCAGTCTAACAGGTGTAATGAACACAAAAGAAATTCACATACTGTATTCTTTTTTAAAACAACTCCTATTACCTTGTATGTATGATTTAGGTGGAGTAGCACTGCTGTAAGCAAAGTGCTCCAATACTGAAGTATCTCGTGAAAAACAGAGTAATACCTGTAGAAGACAGCATAAAAAAAATCAGCCGACAATCAACAAAGAAATGCCAAATAGAGATTCAAGCACCCACTTTCATTAGCACTTGTAAGATGCTACTGAAGAACGCTAATATGGTTGAAGGCTATTGACCAGCTCCATTTAGTGTCTCATTAAAACTTCTAGACTCATCTGGAGTTTGCTATGATATCATCTTCACATTCAGTTGTTGTCAGCAAAACACCCACATCCTCCAATCTTCCTCTTTGCCTCTACGAAGCAGTTTACTCCCTTCTGTCATGTCATACTGATGTACACCTGAATAATCAGCATGTTGGAACATTCTGGAATGTTTCAAAAGTACTCTCTTCAGTTTTTGCTTAGTTCCCCCCTTCCCATTAATCACAGTCATTAAAGTGGCTGTGTAATTAAAGTGCAGTGCATGCACTTGGCTGCTCTGATGTCTAATAGGTCATTTTTCCATTTGGTTACTATGACTTAGGGAAGTCCAAGTAAGAGCATATGCAAATGAAGAGTTTATGTTGTAATATACATGCATTTCCAGAGGACTGATCCTCATATTCTCTATCACTCCCATGAGCTTTGCAGAATGCTTGCACTGTTCAGTACTTTCCAAAAGAACAAGTGAGAATGTTCATGTCATATACTTAAGTTCTGAAATCCATACTGTATTTTACAAAATACATCTGTATTTTTCACTGCTTACGTAAAGAAACAATTTACTGTTCATAGCAATTGAGTAAAAAATTAAATATTAAAAGCATTCCTAGAAGAAAAAAACCCACAACAATAAAGAATCTCATCCTATACACAACTGAAAAAATGTTCCTGTTTTCATGCAATGAGAGATTGTGTTATCCAGAATGGACACAAGAGGGCAGAAGTAAAGCAACCTACAATTTGCTGACTTAAATAACTAAACCCGCTGTTCTTGCAGCTTTCAACAGTTTTTCCTTAAACTGTAGCCAAGGTGTAAGATGTGGAATTGTTTATATGGTGTTTTACTACATAATTTCTTATGAGTAAAACAAATGGAGTTTTCCTTCAACAAATTATTGCAAACATTTTCCAGAGATCAGCATTATCGAAAGGAAACACGCAAAACTGTGACCTCTGACGACCACTCTTTTTTTTTTTTTTTTTGGAAGCAAGGTATATTTGAGAAATTTCCTTTTCATGAATCTCAAAATTACTTCTCAGATACAAACATCTTTTAAAAAATAAATAATTTCTTTATCTTGAACAGTTTAAGCTAAATATTATTTTTGTGCAATACACGGTCATTTTCACAGCTGCCAAAATACAACTGACAATAACAATACACAGGCAAACGTAATTCTCTGTATATGTTAACTGAGGTGAAAGAAAGAGGAACTAATCTAGAAGGGACATAAATTCTGTCCTCTCATAGGGAAAAGAATGTAACCTTATTTGAAGCCTCTCTCACCCACAGAGGGGGATTACAGTGCCCAGCATCAGAATCTGCAAGTCTTTAAGACCACGTAACTCTATAAGAAGCAGACTCCAACCCAAACACGAGTACTGACTACACTGAAACTTCTGGGTGAGGCTCTCTGCACATACTAGTTATGAGGGATGTAAGATTCAAGTATTAAAATAAGAACATCTGACACAAAGTCACAGATGTACAAGTTTCTCTCTTTGTACGTTATTTTTCTCATTCACAGAAATGATGCTGCTGTAAGAATAATGACACAACCCCTTATTAAGTACAGAAATGTCTGATAAACTATTGGATATGATAATCCAAGATATGTCACTGTGGGGTTATTTTTTAAAATTGTAATTAATTTAAAAAAAAAAATCAGATGCAGATGTTACCTTTGTAACTATTTTAAGTAAAATAAACTACAGTTTTTTGAGGTTGTGATTTTTAATGTTTATCATATGTAGACATGATTGAATAGCATGTTTAAATAGTAACCCCCATTTTTTTATTCATATGGAATAAACTACATTAAGGATAGTTTTTGTTTTTGTTAGTTCTCCATATTATTGGCAGTTTTACATACTACCATCAAAGAAGAACTGTTTCACATAGCTCTAAAAAAAAAAAGCAAGTCTGGCCTAACAAGTGTGACTAATGAAACTGGAAAATACAAGGGAATGTGAAGTTTGCTGCATGACATTTATGTTGACACTGCAATCAAGTACACATTAGGAAATTCATAAATGTAATCTCCTTCTGTTCAAGGGTATCTGACAGGCAGCAATGAAGATAATTCTGCATAAATTAGCTCTATTCCCTATTGCAAGTAGCAGCTTTAGTATGGGAGGAAGCTTAGAAGTAACCATACATATTATTACCTTACGCAGAACCAATGTGTTCAGTTTAAAAATAGGTCAATAAAATATCTTTTGTGCTTACTGCAGTATGTCACAGTAAGAGCTGTAAAGCAATGTTTTTGTTTTTAAACTGGAAATTCTCAACTCTTGATATCTCTGTGTGCCACACCTTCTGTTAATCATTTTTACTGTTACCAAGCATGAAAAAGAAAGAATATAGCTGACTTCGTATTTTTGGTATCGGAAGGATGATTGAGGGTCCTTCAGGAGTTTTTAGAAGCAAGTCATGCTTAATCTGTCCAAATGTACAAGGTTTGTTTGCAGCACTGATACTCTGAAGGGAAGATACACATAATGCAGCAAACACACATCTGTCGAGGGTCCTGCTATATACTGCCACAGCAGTGTGCTCTCTAGCTTCTCTGATAGAAAAATGAAGTTACATACCTGATATAAATAATCCTCAAATACAAAATAGTAGTCATCATTGCTTGCCGTTAGCTTTACATCCTGAAATTAAAAAATGAAGCAGTTTGAAGGTGAAAGACTGAACTAAACACAGTGGTAGGAAACACAATAATGAAAAAGCTTATGGTTAAGCATATAATCCGTACTGTAAAATGCAAAACCAAGATATTAAGTGGATTATTGAAGTATTTAGAATTGAAATTTGAAACAGAATCATTTGGGCCCCAGTGCTATTTTACTTCAGAAATCATTTATTCCTCAAAATGAAGTTACTGTTTTCTCTATGACTGTTTCTTCTACAGTTTAAACAAATGTCTTATACAAGAGCCATTGCAGGAACAAGGAGAGAGATTACAATAATTCACTGTAATCACTCTGACGCTTCTTAAAACAAAACTATGCAACATTTTCTTTGTTAAAAAAAAGAAAGAAAACAAACAAAAAAAACCTGCAAACAAGATACTGCTGTGATGACTACATAAATCACTTACTGGATTACTTACTTTGTAAATCAAGCTGTCCACTAAAAGGTCATGCTGAATCACATTTGACTTGAGCTGCTCATAATACAAGATATCCTAAAATTGAAAATATTATCATCATCAGTCGGAGACAAAATTGTAATTTATGTTTAAAGTACGAAAGATGATTTCTAATAATAATAATACAAAGGAAAATTAAAAGCATGTATTGAACTCAAAGTCTCACTGCATAATTTAGGAAGCACTCTATAGCTGCTTAAAAGGCTCCAGAGATGAGGCATGTATTTGAGACTTCATAAAGTGAACTCCCCTTTATGTTTATTCATTTATTACATAATTAATAGGATGAGAATGGAGGAACTAATGCAAACCAAAGATTCTCATCTTCCAACTTTTGGGTCACTGAACAGTCAAAACTGTTTCTATGCTAAAATCACTGCCATATTTCTTTAGTTGTTAACCTCTATTTTCAAGCATCTCTCCATTAATGAGTTATGTCATATCTTCTAGTGTTACTGAGATGCAGCAAATATTTTATACTAATCTGAGTCTCTACATTTTTAAAATGTTGAAAGATTAAATCACAATTAAATATATCAAAAATCTTGTGAAGAATGCAAATAACTCAGATTTGTTTTAAAACTTGAATTACTTCCTGAATGCATACATAAGATGAATACAGGGGAAACAACAAGAAATTAAAAGAACATTTCTTTGTGTTTTTTATTTTATCCCTTTCTTCTTAGAAAGAGCTTGCAGTGGAAGAAAGAGATGTGACATCTTGCACTATCCTCATGTAATTCATAAATACATCTCTGCCATTATGCCAAGAATTGAATATTATTGTTTCAAATTGTTTTAGATGAATTTGTAATAACATATTAACTAAATTATCAGTCCCGAGGTCTTTACAATGTCTTTTTTTAATTTCAGTGTGTTTCTTCCGACACCACAGAGATGTCTGTATATTACTAGATTTACATGATATTGCTGATTCCTTTGCAAAAGATGCAAGACTGGAGTAAGGATTTCAAGGAAAAAAAAAGAGAAGTAAGGTGAAATTTGAAGACAGCATTATAGAAGGAGAGAATGAGAGAAAGTAGAGAGAAGGCCCCAAGGAACATTGCAACTGCTCTTTGCACTGATCAAAAACTGGCAAGTGGTGAATAGCACGCACTTAGAAAGTTATTAGAATTAATACAGTACTTAATTTGAAATAAATTACACTTAATTTGAAATGAGGATAAATGCATTATTCCTTAAGTACTGGTAGATACCATAGGGAATGAGGGGATGGAAAAAAAAAGTATAAATAGTACACTAATTCTTTAGAAAGGGTGACACAAATATTGACTAAATATAAACTAGTAGCAGTCTGAATGTAGCACAGTTTTCAAATGCTACAGATAACTAATATTCATGTCAGAATTTTAAAGCATTAGTATATATAAGTGCAGCATTGTTGAAAAAAATAATACATGAAGTTTTTCTATTTTTCTTTCTCCTATCTCAAATACCTGCACATATTATGACAGATGAAGCTTGCAAAAAACAAACAAACAAACAAACAACAACAACCAGTACTCAGCATATTGTGGAATGAACTGTTTCTGCTGTTATGCAAGTAAGATGCCTTAAAAGTATTCCACAAGCACTAAAGTGCTTGATATTTCACAAAGTTTATAACCGAGGCAGCATTCAAATCTGTTAGGAAACGTATAGCCAATTTCTCAAATATGCACAACCAAATAGTAAGAAGAGTTTTGACTTCAAGAAAATATTCAGAAAGAATGGGAAGAAGATGAGTGGTTTGCTGCAGGTGTCAACTTCTCTTTAAAATCTAATCATCCAAAAAGATTCCAAACTACAGATACTCAAGGCAGCAAGGTGATGAACTCTGAAGCTCATTTCCAACACTGGAATGAGGTCCAATTAGAACATTCCAAGATTAGAATGAAGTCTTCTGTTGCTCTATATAGGCAAGAAACAGCAAGACAGTTTGTGTAGCATAGTCTGCAGTCAAACAGAAGCATTATGATCTCCTTTTCTACAAACCAAAAAATGAGACACAAAAAGTTTAACTTATTTACAAATAATCACTCAAAGAACTCACGATAGAGATAGAACTGAACTAGAATCAGCAGTTCTTCATCAATAATTTTCAAATAATTACATGTTCTTTAGTAGAGAGCTGTACTAGACAGCACAAAATAAGAAGCTGCGATAAACTTCTTCTTGATTGTCATCAGGCTCCCATGTAATTATGGGCCAGTTGTTTAGAGTAAGATTCAATAAAGCAAAAATTGCTTGTTTCAAGGCACGCAGGCTGCTTACACATTGCAAGAGTTAGGTGGCTCAGAATACCAGTCAGAAAAAGGAAGCCTCTCTGACAAGAACAGTGTTACTTCACATGGTGACAGTCCACAGGGAACCCCCCAGAAAAGCGCATCTTGAGCCTCTTCAAGAATTGAAAGGCTTCTGGCCAACAGGAAACCATAGCTTGGAGAACTCTGATTAACAGCACTCTCCTTTCTTGCTGGGGAAGTTTTGGTCATGCTCAGAATCGTATCTCCAAGGATATTTTATACATATATGGTACAAATATCATGTCTTGAGCCACTCTTCTGTGTTGTCTTTCTAGTCACTATCACTTGCAACCTAACTAGCTTAAGATAATACAAATCATGCTCCAGTAGCATCTAATCTTGCAGATTATGAAATCACCCTAGAATTGTGCATTTAGATCAGATGGATTACGTCTTCAGAGAACTGTAAAGTCAATAGGAAAAGTACCTGAAGTTACTGCCCTCAAAGCTCAACAGCAAATGAGTGACATTTTTACTTAAAAATTCCCAAATAAAAAATGTTTCACCCATTGTTTTTCAGATTTATCTATTAACCTCTTTGCCTTGCCTGCCCAGAGGCAGAGATAATAGTGTTTATGTTTCATGATCTGTGAAGCTTCATGAGTTAATGCTCATAGGCCAATTCAAGCTTTTAAGTTGCTACGTATATGTAACTAATGCTGTATATTTAAATGCTGTATATTTATGCTTACATTTAATCAGAGTTTCAAGCCAAAAAGATTAGGTTGCATTAAATAACTGTTGTAAGTCTACATTATTTTTAGTCTTTACAATGTTCTCAGGCATAAAACACAGAAAACGTTTTAAAAAATACAATAAAATCCCATTCCAGTTACTTAACATAAGTCAAATACAGTCCCAAATGTCTGCATTTTACTTGAACAAACTGAATTCTGCTACAACTCTGAAAGCCAAAACAATGATGTATTGTTTAGAAAACAGAAGCAGCAGCAGAGAACATTAACAACTTCATCATTTAGAACTTGTTTGTACAGCACAAGGCTGAGCTTTTTTCCTTGGTGCTTGTTTTGCTACTGAAGGAAAACATTAAAAACAAATTTTTCATTGAATGCATTGAGAAGAGTTAATTTAGCGATATCAGATGGATCTGTCAGTTTCCCAGGAAACCTTACATAAACACAGCATCAAAGAAAGAACAGACATCAGAAACAAACTGAATGCTAAATCCACCTGAACTGACTCTGCAAGTGAAGGTTAGAGGCAATTTCAATCATAAACAGAGCTCAGATGGATGTCAAGATAACATCAGAAGAATAAAAGCAAAACCTGGCATTCAAATATGAAAGTAAATCAGAAGAATCAAATCATTCAATTCTTTTAGAAAAGATTGAAAATATTTCTAAATTGAAAACTAATTATCTATCTATTTCAGACTTTGTTGTAGCAATTTAAGGAATGGTCTCAGCTTTCCATTTTATAATTTTAAGGAATCTTAAAATATTACTCTATAAAGCATGACTAGAAGTTTAAATAAAATAAAATCTAACCAACAACCATAGACAAGGTATAGCCACCATTTATTTCACTGAATAATAACTAGCTAAATTATATCACATTAACATTTGAACTGCAGAGTATTTAGAGACAACATAATACCCAAATTACAGCTGACAATTTTTCATGTGTTATCAGTAAAGACTGCCTCAAAATGCACATTAGCTGCCTACTTATCCACTACATGCTGAAAGAAAAAAAAATGATAATATGAATGATACTACTGAATGTGCTCATGAACAGTTTTTAGCTGGAGCACATGTTTTATAAAGGTGTTTGTGAGAACTGTCCCTGTTTAACCATGAAAATATATATTTTCTATTTCTGGGTATTCTAGGATGATAAACAAGCAAGAAGTTGGAAAGACACAAAGCTCTACGCTTGAGAATAAATGTCCTTTGAAAGTGTTTTTGTAGCTATTTTGCCTCGGAGAGACAATTTGAGCCAAACTCTGTAACAGAGAATTTTTCCTCAACACTTTCTACTGTGGGATGCATCCCAAATTAATGACAAAGTTTGGAGTTGCCCTTCATTATTGGTAATGGTTTATAACTAACACACAAAAGTTTTAGAATACTACTAAACTTGGATGGAAAATATTCAGAATAGCCACATTCTGTCTCATTAAGCAGAAAGTCAAAGGCAATCTTTTCTTTTAAAGAGAAAATTAACAACTTGTCTTCCCTACCAGCAGTGGCGCAGAAGCATCTTACAAATGACGGAAACCTACAATGTAACTTCTCCTACTACAGTGGCAAAATGAAGCTCATGACTGAACGGTACTTGATGAAACAACCACCCTTCACTGTAATCTGAGAAAGAGATTCCAATAATCTAATGTTTTCTGTTACAATTTCCTTGTTTTAATTTCTCCAGAAGTGCTTCTTCCAGAGAAGAAAGTGATGTAAAGGCAAAGAGCTATCTTTTGCTAGACATGGAGAACACGGTTATCAATTTATATGCAAAAACAAGAATTCTTCTAAAAATACCCCTAGTTGAGGTTAAACAGTGGCTCCAAGGCACCAGTTAATGCTATCTCTAGAGCAGTGTTTTGCACTAACCTTTTCCCTTCATAACTAGCAAACTACTAAACTATATTTTATGTTGGCTTACCAGGGTCCATAGATTTTCCTGCTATTATTAAAATATTTTTTTAAATCACAAATAAAACTAATCATTTAAATATCTGATCCTTTCATCTCAGCAGTCAAAATAACTTGACATTAAATTTAATTATTGTACTGCTTTTTCAGACTTAGAACAGATTTAGTGTTTTGATATGCAAGGAACGACTTTACTGGATGTACAAAGAACTGAATTCTGTACAAGAACAAAAAGGATTCATAATGGATGCAATACAGTGCTCATATCACATGTTTACCAGTTTCAATGCAGTTTTGTTTATTCATAATGAATCAAAGAACTGTTTGGATTATGATCCAAAGCTGTAGTCCTTTTCAGTAGACTCCTGTGAAATGTAAAATATATCCTCAGTCACAGTGACAACAGTGTTACTAGGTTCTCAGCTTTTTGAACAGAAGAGATTTGAGTGGGAATCTAAGGCTTCTGATCCTTAGCCTAGTAGCTGCACTGATGTTACATGCTGCTACATAATGCCCTATTACAAACTTCTCACCCCACTCGCTTGTTATGTTTTTAAACCTAGAAAGTTACACTCAGTAAAAGCTGCATTAAGTAAAGCGTTACTGATTTCTTTGTGCTAGACTTCTCAGTATTAAGATTTCCAACCTGTTAACTCAAAAGTGTACAAAAAAAAAAATAATAATAAAGGTATGAAATAATTTTAAGAAAAAAAAAAATTCTAAGCACTGTTTGAATGTGAGTGCAGTGGATGAATAGGGTAACAAAAGAAAGGGGGGAAAAAGAGTATTTAACAGATTTTTAGTAACTGCATGCCATCTGTTTGGTGCAATGAATGAGACAGATGTCCCACAGGAAAACCTGAATCACACAGTCACAAGGTCATATGATTTTATACACACACACACACACACACACACACAGCAAACTGGACTGACTGTACAGACTACTATGTGATAGTAGTTGATAGGCTTTTGAAGGCTTGACTTTTCAACCTCAAAAATGCTTTTTAAACAGTTTCTCTAAAACATACAGATACAAATGAAAACTAATAAACAATTCATTGCCAGGCAGTGTTTTTAAAAACATCTAAATAACTACACAGAACTTACAGTTGCCAATTATACTGCTAGATTGCCAGTATTATCCCTTAGTTGGCTGTGCACTGGCTTTATACAGAGGCTGAGCTTTATTGAATACTTTTTTCCAAATAACAATATTTGATGCTAGCACACCCAATGCCTATCATACCAAACACTTGTAACTTTTAGATTAAAAGAAGGAAATCATGATTCTTTTGAGTTATAGATGCACATATCTATAAATGTAATAGATCCTAAACTGCAGATCAAAAATATTACAGTAAGAAATCCTTGCAACCACACAATTCAATTCTAGCAGAGAAAGAATACATATGAGGTAGAAGGGGAAAATGTATTAGATAAACCAATAAAGCCTAAAAAAACACAGCAGACTGAAAAAACAGCCCCAAGCATCTGAAAACTGCTTTGCTATATTTTGCAAAAAAAATGAAGGTGTATATGGAAGAAGTCTCAGGTTGTTAATACTCTGGCAATAGTTACATCAATACTTCTGTGAAACACTAACAAAGCATAAAGACAACTATGGGCATTCCGCTTATAACACAGCTACAGTAACTCATGTGCTACCCCACCAGTCTACAAGCAGTTACTAAGTTTCTCTGTCAGAAAGCCTATTCCTTTAATGTGTTTCACACTCAAAATCCACAAAGCAATTGTAACTTACAGCACAGGACAACAAACGCTATGCTACATCATGCAGAAATAGTCTTTTTCTATGTCATCTTAGCATACTATACAAGCATTTGTAAACTCAGTGTTTTAGTAGATATTCTCCAATATAGTGTATCTTTCTACATTTACAATCATTTCTGTTCTATGTGGAAGGATGTGGGGGATTTTTTTTTTCTCTCTTTTCCAGTTCCTAATTTCAACAATTTGAAGCTGTTGACAAACTTGCAGTTCCACATCATTTCATCCGTCCTCACTTACCATTTTTTCCTGAGGTTTCTCATTCTCCAGCCACTTGACATCACCTCAGCTGCACCACAAAGCACTGTCTCACAGTAATTCCCTACGTATAGCTAAATAAGATCATTCTTAAGGCTCTGAACCCTGTAGAATATCTCCTGAAGGGGAATGTGAAAATACAGCTTGTTCCCCTTTAAAAAGAAAAGTGACTGTTGAGCTGTACACATCAATTTCAGGAACTAGATTTTGATAAATCTATTTCCATATGAGCTCATGCTTTACATGAACATAATGTGAAATATTCTTTTTATTATTATTATTTTATTGACTTTCAGTCATCAAAACATTTTACTTTTATTATTATTATTATTATTCAACTATTTCACTTTCTACATTAAGATAAAGATGCTCTGAGAGCACATAGGACTTAGCAGGATATAAACAAATGCAGTCTAACCAACAGCATTAATTTCACATGATAATACTCCTGCTCTCTTAAAGACTTATAAACTTCAAGTTGATCTAATAATTTCACAGAACTAAAGTCTTGTGTTAAGCATCTTGATTAAGATTTATAATATTCTGTTACTGTTTCAACAGCTTCTTCTACAGAAGATTTAATCTTTATTTACTAGAAACAAAAGCCTGCTCGAGTTTTTCAAAAAAGAAGAAGCTAAGTAATTCCAATTCCAGGCCAAATAATTTTAATAAAGACTTGTTTTTGCACAAATACTTGCTAAGTAAATTGTCAACAAACAGGATTCAGGTTTATTTTTAAGGATAATATCTTATCAATGTACTCTGTACTTACCAGCCTCAGAGTTGTAAGAAAGTGACAACAGCTTCAAAGGACATGAAATACAGTAAAATTGCCACATTTGTGACCAAACTTACATCTCTGCATGTTATTTTAATTGAAATCAAAATATTGCATCAAAATAGTCACAATTCTGAAATGACTTACATAAGGATTTAACTTCCTATGGTATGAATATACTAGATATACTGATCGTCTTCTAATACTGCAACAGATTTCATTCTTGAGGACTTCAGTAAAACACAAAGTAATATGAAAAAATGCTGCTGTGCAAACAGGCATGAAAACAATCCACAAATATAAAGCCATTTACAAGATATGTATATGCAGACTATGACTGGTTCTAACAGCCAGGAAAAAGGCACATGCGTTTTCTTTTTATAAAACTTCAGAGAATTTCATCTTTATAAGACTTCTTTCTTGTCTCCTCTGAAAGAACGTCAGCACCATTAAGGAAAAGTTCAGAAGCTAGGTAGATCAAATAATTAGTCTGTTCCATAGTATTTTGCTTATATACTTAGAGAAGAGCCTAAAAGTCTTTACCACAACACTGAGGTTTCTGAAAGGAATGTGTATCAGTTAGTGCGAAAACTCAGTAGAATATTTCATTATCTTTTTCAAGAACAGAAAAAATGTGTTTTCACACACACACACCTTCACATTTTGCTCTTACTTTGTCCCTTACCTCTGGCTGATTAGAAATATTCAGAATGAGGGCCCATAGATCAGCTCGGAGTGCTGTTGGACATCCCTGACGAACATATTGTTGAGCTGCAGCACTATCTTGTTCTGCTAAAACTGTAAAAAATGAAGCAAGCAATAAACAACAGTAATTTAAGATTTCCAAAGTTTATCAGGCTATCAAGTTCCTTATTTCTCAATTGCTATTTTATAAGTACTAAAAATCGAATGTATACCAAAAATAACAGAGTTCTGTAACATTTCTATGTATTTGAAATGGACATTAGTCTGGATTCAAAAATAAAAATAGAAAAAAAAAAATTGTATTATAAAGAAATACATTTCATCGAAATTTAATGCCTTCCTTTTTTCTGCTTATGTAACTTATCACAGTTTTCTGTGCAAGCAATCATTTGGAAATATTTGTTTCAGGTGATGTTTGTTATAAGAAAAGAATTCAAACATCTATTTGACAAATAAATCACATACATGCAAGTAATAAAGAATGCAAGAGAGTAAGGTTAATACTAGATAGCATTTGATAGTGTGAGTGCAGTTTAGCCCTTTAAACATATAACATGAAGATTCAGGAACAGGGTGAACTGTCTAGTTTACCATGTTGTAAACATTAACTAAAGAGAAAATATCTAAAAGGCCTGGTTTCCACAATTCAGTTTTGAAGTAGCTCTTTGGGAAAGAAAACAATCGACATTCTGTCATTAGCAGAGGAATAGCACTTAGATGTCTTTACTCAAGCCCAGTTGCAGCTTCTAGGCTGACACCAAGTGGAACAAGCAGTTGTATATAGCCACAAAATACTCCAGTACAAGTGTTATCTTATATCAAATATGAGATTGCTACTTACTCTGTTTTCTTACTGCCCCTATTTTGATGTTAACTATCTAGAGATGGGTTTGGGAGAATATTTCTGTGAGCTGATTGACTTTTGCAAAGTGTTTGAATATTTTAGAAAGTACTGTAAACCACAATGTAAATAAATTTCAAGATGGAAAATATTGATCTCATTGAGGCAATTATGATACTCAAATTGATTTTGGATTTTTCAGCTTGATTAGTAGTGTGTGATTAAAATCTAAGTTGCGGTAGATAGTAAGAACAAAAAAACTTAACTGCCCACAGATCAATACTTTTCTGGTAGTGAGATGCTTTCAAATCTGCATCCTCCAATTTTCCAGCAGTCTCAGAAATAACTTGCTATTCTAAATTTAACTGTATATTAAAATTACCATATCAGTCTTGTAACGGAAGGATGAAGTCAGATTCAAAAACCTACTGAATTGATTCCTCTCTTTTTTCCTCTCTTTTTAAGTACTGAATGGACTGTTCTGCCAATTTTTTGTTTAACCTGTAGAGCTCTAACACAGATGTTGTGTGATCTCCTTTTCTTCCCCTAAAGAGCAAAATTGAAAGACATTCCTGCAGTTCCCACAAAACTTCAGAAAAGACTGTGACTCATCACAGCGTCTATGAGTGTTTACCTTGCCATTTTTTACTGAGACACAAAGTATGAAAAAATAGCTTTTTCACATACAAGATGACTTTTTCAATATAATTACAGAATTACAAATTAAAATACAATAATGGCAACTCCTCACACTAAGTAATATTTCTCATAAGAGAAAATCAATGCATCTGTGACATGCAAGGTCATAAACAACATCCAATGGAGCATGGAGAAAGACTTCCCTTGAATGAACTTAAATATTCATGGTCAAGCCTTTAGCTTGCAGTTTTACAAGATTCTGTGTCTTTGCACAGATACAAAGCTAAGACAATCTGTGTAATAGAGCCTGCTCTACACAGACAAGAGATGAGCATTAAAAATTACATTGTGTGGGGGTTTAAATCTCAGTAAGTCTTGAATAGAGATTTTTTAGGGGACAAAATAGAGAAGAACTGGGATTGTTTAGTTTGTAGAAGAGAAGGCTCAGGGAAGACTTTATAGCTCTTCAGCTACCTGAAAGGAGGGTGTGATGAGGAGGAGCTCAGCCTCTTCTCCTATATAACTAGTGATAGGACTAGAAGGAATGGTCTCAAGTTGGGCCAGGCTAAGTTCAGTTTGGATATTGGGAAATACTTCTTTGAAAGAGTGGTCAAGTGCTGGAATGGGCTGCCCAGGGAACTGGTTGAGTCACTGTCTCTGGAGGTGTTCAAGGAACATTTAGATGTTGTACTAAGGGACGCAGTTTAGTGGGAAATATTGGTGGCAGGTGGACAGCTTGACTAGATGATTTTTGAGGTTTTTTCAACCTTGATGATTCTATGAAGAGGGAGATGGACTGTACCCTAATAAGTTGCACTGGAACAGAGAACAAAATGGACAAAATGGACAAAATAAGAACCACATTAAGAGAGGAAAAACAGAAAGCTCATTGATTGGTCAGTGAAACAACAAAAGGGAGTGAAGGAGTTTTGGAATTGCATCAACCCCCTTTTTCGTTTGATAAAGTTTAAAAGGAATCACAAGCTACAGTAACTAATGGGTATTGCTGGATTTCAAACATTGTATGTATGCTTATAAAATCAAATCTGAACTAAGAAATGTTTATTCTTTTCCAGATCATTTCTCATCCTTCGAGGAAACTCCTGAACATTTTCAGAAAAAAAAGGTGTATACATGGTGGTTAAGTACTGCAATATTTAACAAGTTCTGCAGTTGCAAATAAACATTAAAACATTCTTTTCTGATGCAGACGTAAAACCCATTACACTAATGAGAACTGTGTATGCACGGAAAGGAGTCCAGAACCTTTCGATTTTAAAATGAAATTCAGCAGTGACCTAAGTTATCACCAAAAAGCTGCTGTCTATGCTTCCTATTTGATTTTAATAAAATATCTGTGGAACTATTTATCTGATAGCTACTGGTAGTCTGCGATGCTTCCTTTTCCATCCTTGTTTAAATTACAATGTTATTATTGACTATGTTTTGTTCTAGTCTGCCTAAGTTGTTAAAATTCTAAAGGCGTATGAGATATAAAATTACTGGATGTATTTGTTACTAATCAGTTTTTTTGTTTATTTTACAGATGGAAATAGAAGCCTACCTACCTTTTTGTCCAACACGTACATGCTCATTTTCAAAGAACTCTAGAAAATTAAGAAATAAAGACGAATTGCAAATATTAGACAAGAAAATAAAAAAAAACTAGTACACTATTCCGTATTTTTCTACATATCTCTAGCAATAAGAAATAAGCTGAATGTGAAGGCACTAAAATTAAATTGCATCAGCATCAATGTTCTTTTTCAAGGAATAATACTAAACAACTTCTGGTCACAGAGACAAAAATACAAAAGCTGCACTGTGCTACAGGAACTAAGACTTTTAATTAGGTAAATTTCCATTTTAAAAGAAAAATAACTTTATAATATAGCATTTTTCATTTTTGAGTAAAATATCATTTTAAGGCTTGGTTCTACTGGAATAACTGAAGACAAGGAAAAATAATAGAAGCCGTTTATATGTACATATATTAACAGTGTCACACTACAGGGTTGACGAGATTTTTCTGTATTTTCTGTATTTTTGGAAACAGGCCGTTTTCTTGTCTAGTGTTCAAATTCTTGAAATAAACTTACTTTCAAGTGAAGCTGACTATTTTACATCTCTTTAAATCTGACCCCTCAGTATTTGAAATGCTGTCTATTATTAGCTATATTTAAAGAATATCACTACAAACCGAACAAACATTTATGGTTTCTTGTGAAAGAAATACACAGATTATTTAATATTTGCACAGTATTCTATGCATTAGTGTTCTAATTAAATGAGTGAAGCACAGCATTAGCTAACCAGGAGGCACTTGTGCTGAATCATCAATACCCAGTTGTCCTATGTTTAAGTCTAGTTCACTGAAGTCTTCTTTCTGAAAAGAAACAAAACCATAAAAAGGAAATTAACAGCTTTTAATTCCCAGATCACAAGAATTCTTCTCAAAGTCTAAATGCAAATATTTTCTCCACAAAATGTATTCCTTTTAAATGCATATTTATGACATAAGAGCTCAGGTCTTTAAAAGGAGAAGAATCGCACATCAATCCTTACTCTAATTTCAGTTTTCAAGATGCCTATGAGCTATGCCAGGATGTAATAAAGTGGAACATGAAACATTAGGTTAATGATCTCTAATTCCGAGCTATTTCTCAACCCAGATGCAAGTTTGTCTATCGGCACAAAATGCTGACAAATCTTATGAGTGGGGCATTAAGAATAGCTCTCCTATCGTCCAGCGATAAGACTTACATTCAAATTCCTTTCATTTACAGTCTGAAATTATAACAGGATTGAAAATTAATTTAAGAAAATCAGAAACTGATTGCCAGGTTAACTGATCTTGTGCAGCTCAAATAAAACAGAGACTAAGATAAATTGAATAGTCAGAAGTTTTTGGGGTTTTTTTTTTCATAAAAAAAAAGTGTCATGGTTTTGTGATTCTTGGTTTTCAGTATTCCACATCATAACATCATGTGGGGCACTGAGAGTTTAACTGTTAATGCTCAAGTCCTGGGTACCTGCCCTGAAGAGAAGAAGAACTACATTCCCCAGGGGACTTTGCGCTCAGGGAGAGGAGATTTAACTCCTGGCAAGGTCACCTGATTGCTCTCTTTTTCGTCTGCCTTCGTCGTGGGCGCTGCTCCTGTCTCCCTGCTGCTCAACTGGACTGCGCATCTCACTTCAGCTTTATGGTGAGGTCTATCCACCTTTCAGACATTCTCTCATTATATTTATTAGCTTCAATTCTAATTACATTGTATTATGGTGTGTTATCTTGCATTCCGATACCATATTTAGTAAATTAGTTTGTTTCTCCTCAGATCGGTGCCGCTGTTTTCAATTATTTTGGGGTCCCCTTTTTCCTGAGGCGCGGATCCGCAGATCCCTCCGCCCCGCTGGTCACGGAACCGGGCTGAACCAGCCCATAAACCGTTGACAAAAAGTTAAGAAAACATGCATGAGCACATATATCCAATCAACAGCTGCATGGCACACAATGAAAATTTCCCAACTGACTGACAAGTTAGCACTTACGTTTTCTTTGTCATTAAGAATGTCTTATCATAAAATTTTTCTACGTTGTATTTTAACTAGCGATCCACTTTGTGTTCATGCCGATTTTCATTTACAAAAGGAAAAACTTACCTCAATTTTAATATACCGTATTGTTGTACAGATTCTCATTCATCACCAAGGCAAAATTATTTTTATAGAAACTTACTGTTAAGAAAGAATATACTTACTAATTCTGGAATAACTTTAACTTTTAGAGGAACTTGAATTAGCCCCAGATGATTTCTGAAACTAGGCTGTTCTCCATTTTCATAATTTGGGTTTCGAAGATTCATCAGGACCTTAAAAACGACAGCTCCATCATTCCTTGCACATACTTGGAAATTTACATTCAGAACTGCTCCCAAAATCAATACTGCAAACTGTACCTTTGGCATACAACCATTTCCCACAACTCCTACATGTACAGGCCCAAATTACCAAACTCTACGTTTTCAAAACAAAAAAAGAAGCCAACTTTTTCAGGGAACAAACATACTCCACTTTGAAAAGTAAGCTCAACTTATGACATAAAAAAGCAGAAAGCATTTTCCATAAATGAGACTAAGAGCTGGTTACATACAAATGTCTTCACTAAAATTAGCTTCCTTTGCAAAGCTATTTGAATCTTTCTGATGGCTACAGTATCTAGGATATTCTATAGCACTACTGCTTTTCTGAAAGAATCTTTATTCATGCTTTTACACTGGCAATCCTACATAGTGTTGAATCAAAACGAGGTACAATTTGCTACTACAATATTTTCTTACTAAATAACAAAACCTCCAAATACTTTCTTCCATGTAAGTTTTTTTATTTTATTTTTACAAAATCAAAAATCTGAAGTAAGGATAAAATTCAAAAGAGAAGAACTTAATGTCAAGGTAAATAACTGGAATATAGAAAAGAATTTAATCTGACATATACTATTATTATATGTTTTAATATTATAATGTTAAGCTGGCAAAGATTCCTTCAAAGGTAAATTTCCAGCTTTTATGAAATTCTGCAACATTCTATTTCTACAATTCTCAGTCTTAAATATTCTAATACCATGGAAACTCACCATCAGACTGGTAAATTAAAAGATTAATGAAACAAACTGAGATTTCTGGAAAGAAAACAGTCTTAGGAAAAAAAAAAAAAAAAAAGTGACCTAGAAAGTCACTACATAAGTCTAAAATGAAAATGGATTTGCAGATTCAAGATTAAATGCACAATGTGACTGTTAGTGCAGTGATGGAAAACAGAATAAATTAAAATTTGTTTAATCAAATTTTCTGTCATGAGTAACTTGAAAAGAGGAGTCCTTAAGAAAAGTAATAAAGTGAATATCAAGTTAATTGTGGGATTCAGAAATGTATTTACAATTGATAAGCATGAAACAATTCACACTTAACAATCAGTCTTCTCTACACTACAAAAGACATTCCACTAAACTTATAATGAATCATTTCAAACATTAAAATACATTAACCTCTGACTGATCTAGACCCTGACTGATCTAGATTGATGCGACTAAATGAGAAGATCATCTCAACTCTAAAAATCTATTCTGTCACATTCTTGATGATGTGGTTCCTGAATAACTGGCAGGATATACAACTGAGGATTTTGTACATTTCATTTTCCATCTTATTTTAATCCCAAACCTCCTACTGTGTTGTTATTAAGTACTGTTGACGACAGCAAATTTATTGTTCTATATTAAAATATAGCTGATAAAGTAAGTTCTATTTTATATATACATTCTACACTTGAACCATGCAAAATGATGGGTAGTACCATCATTTCTGATTTTTAAGTCTTGACAATCATGTAATCTCTTCTTTGTAACGATTTTGTTTGATTAAAGACCAAAACCTGTCAACTCCAAACATTTCTATTTAATGTTTGATTTTTCACAATCCTATATGACCTAAAATTTCAAACACCAATTAGTCAAGCAGCTTTATGTATTGCAATTTAATATTTATAATTAATTATGAAATAAGTTGGGAAATTGCTTTCAGAGGAAAAGTTAGCTTAAATCAGGTTATTCTTCGGAGAAACAGAAGGTCACAAATATAATTTAAAACTACAGCTAACAAATAAAAGAGAACAGCACTTTGTTTTGTAAACAATACCTGGAATCATAAAATGTGTCCATTTTCACTTGTTATAAATGCCAATTTGTCTGAAATACCAGTGCAAACATATTAGAAATGTATTAATCACTACAAAATCATCATTTTTGCAGTTCAACTGTCTGCCTTGTCCAGTTATCTGACAAATGCATGAACTCCTGCTGCAGATGTACCCACACGGCCAACTTATCTCAGAACAAGAGTGAGACTTCACAAGAGAATCTCTGGACCTTTTCCAACTACTGTGCTTGGTTAACATCACAACCAAGATGTACCTTTAGCACATTTGATGCATTCTGGTCATAGACTGGCAGGCAGTCGAAGTAATCAGACTGGAATTTAGCTGAAGTAAGACCCCTAAAAATCCACACTGTGAATGCTGCACCAACTCTTCTACACTACAAACACACTTCTACTGCACTGCAACCTGTTAATATCAACACAGCTCTTTCTTTTTTAGAGACTGTTGTTCACCATTGATCTTTCTATTGTTGCTGAACTAGAACTGCAGCAGTTAAAAGATTTAAGAATATCTCCACCACTTCTACAAGTGCTGGATAACATAAGAAGTTACCTTAACAGTTCAATATTCTAATCTACTTTAGAATTCTTAAAGCCCCACTGGCAATAAGAGAATCCAAACTGCATGCGTGTACGTGACAAGCATTTTCACTTTTTTAGTCTTATCCATAGAGTAGGACTATATGGATATTACTTATTATTATATTAAACTTAATAAGAGTAAGTTTGTATAGAGTAACAAACAAGAGTCCACGTGCCTTTAGAGCCACTCTCATAAAATACGTTAACCTTAGTTAATGGTCAAATCAGACACTGTCTTAAAAAGTCCTGAAGAAAGTGCAAAGGCTAATCTGATTGAGGGAAGGATCTTGTAGGAGAGAGAGGCTTGTAAATGCTATCCACAAGTGCAAGGGATTTGTGTGGGTTGGCCTCACAGACTGTTCTGGGACCCTGGTAATAGTAGCACTTAGTCTCAATGTAAATATGTACATGGACATCCACTCAGAAAATAAAAATCTAAGGTTCTACAAATACTGTTTACGAACTTTCTATTGTTTCATTCCATGGACAATCATCTCTATCATACCAATTGGGCTTTTTTAGAATAATAGCAAATTGTACTGCTTACTTGCCTCTTTGAGACCTTAAAAAACGCTTTTTCCACCTCACATTAAAAAAAATGTAATGGATGCAACTCAATTGCTGAGATGTTTCATGAATTCTTACCTCAAGAAAATCTTTAGGTGCATAAACAGGCCTGAAGAGACTTAGATCTGAAATAAGATTTCAATTATGGTACCTTAAAACTAAAAGAGATGAAATACACATGCAATTTTCTTATACATGTAACACAATGTAGCAATTTCAATAATGTCTTACAACTAAGATTAAAATAACATCATCATCATCCCAAATATCATGCTTAGAACTATTACACATTCTCCAAGATTATGCTATCAGTCAGTGCCTTGGCTTTCTAAATCCCAAGTATTTAATCGAACATTAGTCCTAGAAAACTTTTTACTGCTTTCACATAAGCTTTTACACTGAGCCCCTTTCAGACATGAAAAGAGATATGATATTCTTAAAAGATTTTTTAAAACATTGTAGATTATAGAATGAAATTTGCTTTAGTAAAATAAAAAGTAGGACTAGTCATCAACAATCCATGAAATGTATTTGTTGTTGTGTAGGTAGTACTCCATGAGATACAAATCATTACCTTTGCAAAATAATTTCTTCTGAGGAGCCTGGGTGTGAATGAACTTGGTTAGCCTTGCTCTCCCAAATGTTAACATGGCTATTCTGTGCAGGTGTTATCTTTTGTTAACAAAATGTCTGAGCTTAATTATCCATAGTTCTGAATATTTTCTTCTTCTTAGCCTGATTTTACACTAAAAAGAGACATGTATTTGCTGTATGAATCTCTAAACCATTGGAATCAGGAGTATTATACCATTAACTCCCAGAGCTGACTCAAAATTAGCACAGTAACTCAAAACAAAATGACAATAAAATGAATACTTATGCACAGTTAAACATTATAAATTAGAAAAAAAAAGACTGAAATCTGTTTACCTTGAAATGATTATATTAATCTCTAGTTGATAAATAACGTGGATTTGACTTATTAACGCACCAAAAATTAATGCATGTGAATTTAGTTGATCTTACCTGGTTCGTCAGTTCCCATTTCATTCCATTTATTAAGCAGCTCTTTCTGCTCACTTGCAGGCCTCTGAAAGTAACCAAGAAAGAAACTCTTCTTTTTTTAACAAAATGAGTAAAAGCATGCCTATTTCAAATATGTAAGTGAATATTACACTTTTAAAATCAGGCTGCACTAGCAACACAAAATTCCTCTGCTAAAAATTAATCCCAAGCTAACAACTGCAGAAAGTCCCAGGCTCCAGTTCAAGGAAAAGAAGGAAAGGTAGAAATTAAACAGTTTTATGGATTTACTAATGAATTTTAGGCTATTTGGTGGTCAGATTCATATTACTGAGCTAGAGCTGGAGCTTCTGGACTTTGTCCTCAAATTCCCATCTGTGGCACAGTCAAACCAAAGTACTATATATTGTATCAAAAATTCTATATATGGTAACAGGAAAATAAATAAAGAATGAAACATTCTAACATTATTATCCTGATCTGTGGTCTTTAAAATTAAAGCTTATAAATAAATAATGAAAAAAATGCAGATTGTCAAAGAGAGCCAGTAATTCTGTGTCAGTATCTTTCTCTCCTAAGTACCAGTTGCAAGGGTGTCAAACCCTTTGATTTACCTGGGTCACACTGAGTTAAGAAGAATTGTCTTGGGCCACATACAAAATATATAATATAGTTAAAGTATGTCAGTATTCAAACTTTATGTTTTTATGAAAATCTGTTTGTTTTTTTTTTTTAAAAAGGGGGAGGGAAACACAAACAACCAGCAAGTTGGGCACATATGATGCAGCAAACAAAATACGTTCACGTTATCTATAGGCTGTGCAGCTGTATCTTATACAGCTGTGTCTGCACACAAAAACATTCTGTTAGAAGCAACGAACATAGCAATTAGCTCTCCCACATGTTGCTCCCTCAAGAGATTAATTCCTGCAACAGCAGAGGAAGATCCTCCTATAGACTGCCATCTTCTCAAGCTCAGCTCAAGCGTACAGTCTGAAAATTATTCTGTATTAAAATATTTTGGAGAGCAGTCCTGCAGCTCTTGATAACCAAGTGTAAAATGAACACTACAAAAAATGCAAGACCAGGCTTAATTTCAGGAAAAAATACGTCAGTTCGGCAACGGAAATTTCATAATACATTACCTTCTGTGCTAGTGGGATACTGAGTTCCGTGCACATACTATTTAGACTTTTTAGAATTCGCTTCTCCCAGCTTCCCTGAAACGCACAAAAAAATTAAATTACGTAAAATTCATTTTTTTCTCCAATTTTGCCTTGCCTGAGAATAAGCTGCTTTCTAAACTCATATATAAAGAAATGATAACAAGAACCACTGACACTTGCAAAAGCATTAAGGGAAAGTTTACACGGTTGTTTAAATAGAAACAACAGAGGAAACGGATTTCATCAACTACATCATCAGAAAGAAGCAGAAAAATGAACTCCCCAAACTTTAGATGTCTAAAAAGCATACATTTCACAGTCACTGATTTATGACATAAGCCTAGTACTTCCTTATGCATCAACAGATGACAAATTCCACAAGTGCAAATGGACAGCTTAAAGAACTATCAGATTTTTCTGATTATTGCATTAGATGTCAAGCTCGCTTCTGTGGCCTGATCTGTGGATAATTCCCCTGGAATTAATGCCAACTAGTACTGACTTCCTAGTCAACTGGCTTTGGATTTTGCTTTCATGATTACAGCTGCACTGGTGGGTTTTATATTTAATTTCGTTTTCTGCAGATGATGAGTCAAGCTTCAACCAAATGAATGTAAGGACTCCTGTTAATTTCATTTAGCTCTATTTATTATTTGTAATTAACTCTAGGCACAAATTTGACAACAGTTAGATACCATCTAACCATTTAAGCTTTTTAAATTTCTGTCCAAAAATGGGCTGCAGTTTATTAGACAGGAAGCAAATAAAGGGAAGGGCAGAAGTTCAAATGTTCTTTTAAGGAAAAAAAAATAATAATAATAAAAAATAAAAAAATAATTTAAAAAAAAGATTATGTCTTGCCTATAATTGCTTTATTTTCGCTTCCATTTACAATATTTTATGACATTTTCTATCAAACACAGTAGTTATCTTTTATCAGTAACATTTTTTTCCCCAAATCAAGTCATCCCTTTACCTTCTCTTCTATAAACAAAACAGGTTGAGTACGGCTGTAAAAAATATTCTCCTGATTGTAGTAATTTTTATAATATTCTGTATAATAATTGTTATTTCATTGTATTACTGCACCCAGTAATACAATGCCTTCCAAGTGCCACAATTACACAATAGCATGACACCAAACTATTTTTTTTCTCTCATGGAGGAACAAAGCATTTACAGTACTCTATTTTGCTGGAGATGGTGGTTTTGTTGCTGGAAGAAATGACAAGTGAGAAAGAACACAAAGACTACGAAACCATACAAGCAAATGGAAGCAAAGAATACAGAGGTGTTAATTAAAAAAACATCAAGTGAAACAATAAAGATCAAAACTTAAAAAATACAAAATGCCAAAATATAAAGGACACAAAAAAAGCACAGAGGAATGAGACAGCTTTGCAAGACTGAGCATTAGCTCATTCCAAAGAGCAATGGAGGCTGATACTCTTAGGGTGACAGCCAACTGCCCAGCCAGAGATGGGTAGCGTTGTTGCACTGAAGGTGCAGCATGTTAGTAATCTACAGTGTTTAGCTTGTTATGAGCTTTGTAAGATCAGAATAGGACAGAATCAGAATATGGCTTCATGGAAGATGTCAGAAACAATTCCTAACATTTCTTCGCACTCAGCTTCATATCTTTATCTCTATTTGTTCTTATATCTTTACATTGCCCACTTGAATTATACATCATTGTTTGCAGAAATTCTCCTAAATCAAGAAAAAGCTGAACTCAGAGAGAACTAAAGAGCAGGTAAGGCTTGCATCATTTTGCCTCATCAAAATGCGGATATCAAAATAAAGAAGTCTAACAGATTTAAGAATTTTTCAACTCAAACCAATGCCTGCTGGGCAGCAAAGCAAATTAGCAAAGTCTTCAATTTTTCAATCCTAGAATTTAGTAATAGCGCCAAATCTGCATTAAGATGCACAAGTAATAATTCTCCCATTTAGCAAAGTGGCAGTAGGTGACCTAATCCTCTCAAATTGTAACCAGACCAATTAGCACAGAGAACACCAGAGTGTGAAATTATCTGATGCTTTTGAGAGAGGTTTGACAGGATTGACAGATATTGTATATGTCAATTTTCAAGAAACAGAAATGAAAAAGGGCCTCTGTTTAGGAAAGACCTCATTTAAGACTGAATGAAGAAGCTGAATGTAATGATCTACCTTAACTCAACTGCAGGAACATCTCTTCAGCTACAGCACACACAATTAGAAAATACACAGCACATTTGCTTTAACATTCGAAAGCATAATTATTAATTGCAGTACTTTTCTACACTGAACAATGCCACAACTGCATGACTGATTTATAGCACTACTCATTGATATGAATGCTCTATCATTTCCTAGAAATCTGTTATTTTGATATAATGAAAAGAATACAGTACATAAATTTGAGACTGCCAGCTAAAAATCAGAGGACATAACCAATTTGAGAAGAAAAAGGGTTAACCATGAACATTTTAATATCTGTTGTAACAAAAAAAAGGCAAATATAGTTTTAATTAGTGATTCATTCAAAGTCATTCCAATTAGTGATATCAAAATAATATGGTTTTCAGAGAGCATTACCCTTCTTCCCAGAATTCTCAAGTAAAACAAAATTAAGATAGAAAAGGATAAAGAAAACGCCAGTGAACTCATAACATTGGAAAAAGCATCTTAAGCCATGCCTGTGCATAATAAAAATCAAATATGACGTACACGGAAAACATTTTTCTATTAGAACCAATATTGTTGATATTCAAAATCAAAATATCAAAGAATCAAAATATTCTTCTCCAACTGTTTGATGCTAGAAGAGAAATAAGGGCAAAAAGATCTGCCTACAAATAAAACAAAAACAGCCTTCTACCTTCAAAATATTCATTAGATTTCTGATACCTGGTGGAAATAAATCAGTAAGTTTCCACTTTTGGTTTACTTTTAGCAGACATCAGAGATCTGAATAATTGCATTTTAGCTCCTTTCAAATATTTTAAATAAACAAAATCACGGAAACATTGGCTTCATAAACTTTTTACATTGTTCACTCTTTTTTATTCAAAAGATTAACAAAACTTAGCTGAGATTCAACTGAGCTGATTGCCCTTGTTTTCTTATGGGCCTTTTACCAATAATGATAAATGAGCGCATCTCAAAAATCAAATGCTCACACACACATCAGTGTGTTTGGATAATGTCTTATTAATCCCCTAACCACACTCTTATGCAACTTTCTAATCATCACCTTATCAATATTTCCCTGCAAAAACTATTTGTATTTCAAGAAAGAATTTGAAAACAACTACGCATGATTCTCTTTGAACTAGGTAAGTGAAACTTTGAAATGAGTAAACACAGAACTTCTCCTTATCTTTCCTAAACTATTAGAAAAACCATCCTTTCCACACTGTATCAGAAATATTGTGCTAAGCACTATATACTCTTTTATGAAATAATAGCCAATTAAACTGGTTCAGACAAACAAACACATACATAAACACGTATATAAGTACTTGTGTATTTTTCATGTCAGCAATCATTGATATGAGTGATTATTTTCAGACAGTAAATTGTGGCATTACATTCCACATCACAGTAGTAAATTTGTTTAATACAATCTTTATACCCACATGCTAAAGACAGAAAATGCAGAGCAGCACAATAAGGCTTACTGCAACAAGCAACAATATGATTGAAAAAGTAACACAATTTGTTGACTAACTTGTAAAAGAATATCACAATGTATTTCCACGCACGGCTGCGTGAAACACAATTTTACCTTTATCTCTGATATTCTGGTTGGATCATACTCTTAAAAATGGAAAGAAAAAAAAAACCTCAAAAGGTTCATGCAAGATTTTATTTCAAATAGCATGCGGGGATGAAATAATCCAATGAAGTAGAAATATTCTTCCCCAGTACCAAAATCCTTGTTCAATCCTTTATAGCCCTGTTTCTCTCATTCTCCCCCTCAATATTCCTTAAGCTCCTTAGCTCTAAAGCTTTAACTTTTCCTTCCAATTTCCAATTATTGAATATCTTCCTTCTTTCTGCTCTCAGTATCTATGCAGTTTGTGGTCTTTCACTGCCAAACTGCCTACCTGTATCTCTTCAGATAATATTTTTGTATACCTAATATAATATTATTTATATAAATATATATATTTTATTATGTAATATTTTTGTAATCCTAAGTGAAATGACCTATATCTACACATCTTTCTCCCAACAGAAATAAACTCTCCTACTTTATATGCTTTGTGTAATCTCTGTTCTAAAATATTCACCCACCTGCCACTACATCCCACTTCTTCCATAGCAGGAGAATTACTTGAGCATTTATGGTATGTATATAATATGTTACATATACAACATTATTATTAAACTCTACATAGGTACAAATCTTTATTTTTCCTAAGGTATAAACACTAGAAATTGCACAGTAACATTAAAATTGGATTAATAAAATTAAAATAAATTTGAAATAGTCTAACCAAAGATTATATGAGAACTGTAAAATTGATAACAACCAACCTGTGCTTTCCTCATATAAGCCAAAGGTTCCTTCATATGCTCAGGAGGTGCTGCAGGATGACACGGTGAAGGAAACCTTGAAGAAAATACAGTATACTTTAAAAGTCCATATTTTTATTTTGCTTTATTAATTATCTGTCAGCCTAAACATAATTTCTTTCATGAGAATTAAAAAAAAAAACTATTAAAAACACTGCATATGATTATCAAAAATAAAAACAAGTAGTACTTTTTGAATTATTTTAACTGGTAACACATACCAGTACTTTGCTGAATCAAGACCCTTGTACTCTGAAGACAGACTGTTCAAAACTATTAAGTGTAAAAAGCTTAGTTAAATCAGCAGGAGTATGTTTACATAAATGATTTTTATTAGATAACTGCAGTTTGGGCTGTGTGTATCAATTAATTTGCCTCTGTGAATTGCCAGAGTGTAAAAGACATTTGTACTTCCCAGAAATTTAATTCAAAGTGAGCTAAATAATAAGGTAAAAATTTCTCAAATTTCACTGTATTTATAACCATAACAAATGTGATGACATTGATTTGCTATGTCTAGAGATGTAAAATCTTAAAGGTATTTGAACACATAATGCTGTTCTAAACATCTGAAAAGAATTTCTAATTCATTTGCAATAACTCCTCAGCTACAACAGAATTACATTATGAATTTTGGTACTTCTGGAAGTAAAACAACAAAAAAATTATTAAAGTAATGTTTAGAAGTATGGGAAAATACACCTGAGTCCAGCATTTTCACTAGGATGAAAAAGAAACGACAATTTACAAACAGAAATAAAGCAGGCATCCTTGATATGGCAGACTTTGTACACAATAGCAACACATCACACACCTTCATATACAGAGGAATGAAAAGGAAATCATGCAAACAGAACTTAATAAATTAACATGCTAATTAAACTCACACATTGAGTTCACTATAAACAGCATTCTGAAGCTTCTTTTCCCAACCTGTTAAAATACAAATTAAAGAAACAAAGAAACAACAAAAAAAAAAAAGAAATTGGACAATTTTAAGAAATTAATACTAATGGAACACGAATCAGAGGTTACTTTAGAGTTGCTAGAGTTTTCTGTCCTGTCTCAATTCAAGTCTATGTACTGGACAGACAGGAAGAGAGGGAGACACCTTAACCCAATAAAGGTAGGTAAAACTACAATCTAAAGTCTACAAAAAAAAGGTTGAATATCCTTTATTTCCATCTGCTGTTCAAATAATTATGATACAGCTTCGGTTAAACAATTATAAGCTATTCCTCTGAAACAATCATATTTTCAAAACAACTATAAATGTTAATAGAAATAGTGTTCCTGGTGATTACAAACTACACATCACTTATAATCAGATCTTCGCATTATAGAGCAATATAGCCTACAACTTCCAATAGAAATTTACCAAAGGGTAAAATTTCAAACAGGGCCTCCACAAATGCTAATTTCCATTTACCAAATGGCCTGAACTTGTTTCATTCATAACTTTCATAAAAAGAACATATTACCAGCATCCTGTAAAATGGCAATATCATATTTCTGCATCACATGTTCATCTGCTGCCACAATACAAGAACATTTTACCCGTTTGTTTTCTCTATCCTGTTTAATAATGTAATAAAGTTCTCACCTACTGTTTTGTGTGTATTTCCACAATGCCTCACACAATCCAGAATTAACACCGTCTCCATGTCGAAGTGCCAACAACTATCTTAATTATCTGAAGTATTACAAACCTGATGTCTTCAGAAAATCCTTAATATCTTCTTTCAATGATTCCAGTTTAATTTCTGGGTTGTGTAGGCTAATCTAATGGGAAATAAATAAATAAATAAATAAATAAATAAATGAGCATCAAACACTCGTTATAAAGAAAGTAATTGTGTATTCAGTTATAAAATAAGAAACATACAAGCTTAACATTACATACATACAGTAAATTACTTCCTAGTAACTTGAAGGCAGTTGTTACAGTTAAAAAACAATAATAAAAAAAATCAGCCAACTTTTCCCTAAGTCAATATCTTTGTTTTTATGTCTGTGATAAAAGCTGTGTGCAGGTAATGGGAGAAGGACTATCTGTGACATACATGCTTACTATTCCTAAGTACTCTACACAGTTTGCACAAATGCCAGGTTCTACACATTAAAGGATTGGTCACTGACATGATCAAATTGAAAATGTTCTGCAGCTTCCAATCAAACTTCCCACAGTTCACCCATCAGATAAGAGGTGCCATCTTCAAACTTCAGATAAAAACTGGACCAAACGTTCACCTCTGCAGCTGTCATTGCAAGGTATATACAGCAATGTGCAATGAAGTGCATTTGACAGATGCCAGCTGGGCAACAACTAGCTTTATAATCCTGCTGTAGATTCTTCAGCAACAGCATGAGCAGCTGCTATGGTACTTCCTTCCACAGTGAAACTAAGGAGAAAACAAAGAGACCAAAAAGTTCCAAAAGGACAACAATCAAAAACTCAGAATTTTCTTGAAGTGGCTTTAATGTGTAATTTTCAACACACAAAATGTGGTAACAGCTGATTAGCACTAGAGGATAAAGCCAGAGGATTGGAGAATAGCAACCTTGGCTGCTGACCTGAAAATAACACTGGGAGATCTGTGAAGCTTACTCCCCAGCCATGCCAGAGCAAGGCATGTTAGAAGCACACAGCCACCTCAGCTCCCCAGAAATGCAGGATACTGCTTAGCCAAAGCTACTCAGCAATATGTTGGTGACATGTCAGCTGTTGTCTATTATGATAACTCATGCTTCTAATAGGCTTTCATGCCCATGCAGTGTGTCAGCACAGACAACACTGCTGACAGCATGGCAAACTTTTGTTCCATCACACTCAGCTAACAAATTCTGCATCCTTGTCATCTGCCTTACAGTTTATACATATACATAGAAAAGCTCATTTACTGTGCAGCACAGCTTGCTAAAAGAGTTGGTCTACACACATTCACAATGCAGATTTTTTAAAAATATTTCTATTTTTCCCTGTAAAAAGGGGGGAATGACTGAAAAATGAAAAGGCTACTAGCATCAGCAATTCTCCTTTCAAGTCACTTTACTACAGATATTGAAGTCTTTGATATTTGGTATATTACTGCAATAGCAAAGAGAGCACAGGCATGCTTTTTGAAACAGAAAGATGATCAATAAGGACAAACCACAAGGTGTAGAGAACTGCTACAGAACCAAAGACACTGCTGTTGCTAAAGACTTCTTTTATTGCACATGAGATTGCAGATCTATTTAATACCCAAAACACAAGAAACTGGCAGACAGTCCAGCTTGTGGCTGCAGCTAGCTGTAACACTGCAGAACACAACCTAGGGCTGTATAATATTGCCAAAGAAAAGACTCACTTGGATAGGATAAAAGAAATCCCCATCTGAATCGCTTCATGTTTTGATTTTATGTGGGTGTTTACGGGAATTAAATTAAGGAGTCAGAGACAGAGATGATCCTCCAAAATTAGTAGACCGGGTCTCCTATATACTTTAATTTCTTGTTTGGATAACTACTCTGACTCCACTGCCTGAGGAAGGAGGGCTGGAGCATTGTAATCTTTAACATCCCTTCCAACCCAACCCATTTCTGTGATTACAAGCTACTCCTGCTGGTTACTTTTCTTACTAGTTGTTAATACTATACTGCAAAAAACATTAAGGTGTTTCAGTAAGTTTTGTTTTGAACTCTTGATACAATGTACTGCCCAAATATCATTTGCATTTTTGTCCACTATGGGTTTGGTTTTTTGTGGGTTTTTTTTGGTAGCATGAAAAACACATTGACAACATTTTCTTATATTGGAAGCATTACTATGATATACACTGATAAAAACACCAACTGCAGCTTACTGGGGAAAAAGAACCCCACACCTTGATGAGACATACTGATGAATTAATTTCCTGCATGATCAAAATGCAAGGTACACGGAAGCAGACAGACTCTCCAATTTTAATATACACATATTGATGAATGAGTATCTATCTTTTTCTTCTTTTTAATCTATCAGGAAGATCATAACAGGCAGAGTAAAGGAAAAGGAGCAATGGAAGGTAAAGAATGGCAGCCAGGCTAGGGAAGAAACGATGCTACTCATGGGCTCAGCCGGACCAAGGCTGAATCCTGAGACAGGGATAAATACAGCATATTTTAGCAAACAATAACAGATTGTTTTTTAACAATGTTCATGCCTGCTGGTGTCCTTTCCAGTCTAACTGGCATTGTGCATATTTTTATGGATAGGACAGCAGGGCTCAAGGGCTGAGTGTTCACCTTCATCAACAGCCTTTGTCTACTCCTTGTAAATCAAGAGGCAACTGGCTGTTGGACATTCCTTCCTAAAACAAACCATCAATACAGCATTTGTCAGCATCTTATCGTTTTTCAGCTGTACAGAAGAGAAAGCACAACTTCTGGACTTTAAAAATTTTGCCAAACCTTTTTACAAGTGGCTCAGGTACCATTAGCAATCCTTTGTGTTGGCATTCCATGCACAGCTTTGACTTCGGTACAGTATCCTGTTAAGATGTTGGCAGTCATTATCATAAATGATTCAATTAGGATCAAGCTGACTTGATCAAAATCATTTCAATTACAATCGCAGCAATTCTAGTATAAGCACTCTCTAAACACCTAAAAATCCTACACATTTAAGGGAATGATTCTGGATTTATTTTACACATTTCTGTAACCAAAAGGAGGATAATTCTGAGCATAACAGCCAATTTCAATAAGTATAAAACCCTGAATACACTAACATTTTTCCTACACTTGCATATTTCTACTGTAGCTAAATTAAGAGTGAAAGTATTATCAGCTTTCTTATATAAGTTAAAAAAATCAAAAATTTAACAGTTGAAACAGACAGCTTCTCTTTTTGTGTCATACTGAAATAAACAGTTTCAAACATTACATTCTCCCACTAGATCACATCAATTAAACATCAAAAACACACTATTTGAGTTTTTCTGTTTCATTTCAATATAAAATTAGCGCTTCAAATAAAACACAAGTTAAAATATATTTAATTCATATTACTAAAAATAAATAGATAAATAAAACCTGTGAGTTAAACCTGAATCACTGGCATTGTTTCTGAACTCCACAATCTGTTCAGAGTATTCATTACTGCATTCAATTTAAAATTAATTATACTGCAATGTTACTGCTGGACCAATTAGACCAAAGTACAAGCTCTATCAAAAGGGGATAACAAGTCATTTGTCAAATACAGTGCACAAAAAGGAATCATTTGTTACCCATGACAACTCATGAGCTTATGTTTACTTGCTAAGTTTTATCAAATAAATACTGCATTCACAAAAACATTTTATTTCTTAGTTTGATCTTTTACTTAAGTAGGAATCATTATCAATTTCTCTTTAATGTTAGGGGAAAAAAAAAAGTCATGAAATAATACCTTCAGATATCTTGCAAACTTTTACACCAGATGAATTAATCTAAAAAGTTCACACACTCCCTCTCAAAGCACACACTCAGGCAGCATCTCAACTTTAAGAGGCATCACTCCCAATGCTCCTCTCTTCCCTCCACCATTCCAAGCCTTGCGAATATCACTACCTCTCACTCAGATCAGTAGTTCCTTTAGATCCTTTGGAAGTAGTTACATGTCTGCTCCAAGAGTGCTGATGGTGTCCTCTTTTCTGGACAGCCATTCTGATCATGTATTCCAGCTTAGCTCCTCGCCATATCTTGCTGATACTTTCAAGAACCTCTTGAAACCTTTTACCACTTCCCAGATGCGTTCCCTCTTCACTCCATCCTACACACCTGAGTTACCAGACTGGGGTGGGGGTGTCTGGGCTGACTTTTACAGTCCAGTTTCACCTTTCAGCTTATTCAGTCAGCACTGTCTTGATCTGCTACAAGCTCTCCTTCAAGTACACCCACCACAAGCATCCTACAAGAAAAACAAATCTGAAAATGTCTATACAGAAAATGTCAGGGGGGATTCCTTGTTTTGTGAATATTGCTTGCTTCACAGAACTTAATTTAGAACCTTTATTACACTTTACTCTCATCTGCTGGTTTAGAAAAGTTCTTTAGGAAAAACAATACTAGGGCTTTTATTTTATTTTACTTTTAGTTAAAAAAAGCTTTCCATGTCATTTGCCCCTGGTCACCTGGCAAGTCTGGGTCAGACGGATTTCTGTTAGAGGTCTAAAAAGAAAGAAAAATTTTTAATATTCTGTTAAACATCCACATTTAAAAGGTGATGTCAGATTTCTGAATCATTCCATCTGATCTCAAACTAAATTTCTTGCCTGAAGATTTCCACATCTCAGTTTTTCTAGCCACCCCCACACTTTACCTTAAAAGCATTTCAGAAAGGGAAGGTCACAAATGGAGTCCCCTAGGGTCTGTCTTGGGACCAGTGCTCTGCAACATATTTATCAATGACACAGACAGTGAGATTGAGTGAACCTTTAGCAAGTCTGCTGGTGACACCAGCCTGAGTGGTGCAGTTGATACAACAGATGGAAGGAATGCCATTTAGAAGGACCTGGACAAGCTGGAGAAGTGGACTCGCGTGTACCTAATGAGGTTCAACAAGGCCAAGTATAAGGTGTTGTGTTTGGGCCAGGGAAACCCCAGACATCTGTACAGACTGGGAGAGCTCCTTGAGAGCATACCTAGGAGTCCTTATAGACATGAGCCAATGGTACCCTGCTCTGCATCCAAAGAAGGGTGGCTAGCAGAGAGAGGGAGGTGATTGTCTCCCTCTACTCAGACCTTGTAAGGCTCCATCCAGAATACTGTGTCCAAGCCTTGGGCCTGCACTGTAGGATGGATGCAGAGCATTTGGAGCAGGTCCAGAGGAGGGCTGCAAGGCCTCTAAATGAGCACAGAGTGAAAAAGCATGCTCACTTTTTTTCTGTATTCATCTCATTGCATTAACTATAGACACACTATCAACATTAAAACTCATCCTATGCAATCAACCAAACATTTCTTTTTTCAGTCTTCATTAACAAGCACACGACTCTACCCTATTTCATTTCTCAGGACAAAAATGTAATTATCTGATGATAACTGTGACAGTAGACCATTTTGCACCCACACTAAACTTATTTTAAAGACATCGTGCATCACAGCCCCTGACACAGGTGCAGGCTGCGTCAAACAGAGCACTGGTGGGATCAATTCATAACCACAGGACTCTTCTATCATCTCTCACAAATAACATCAGGAAATTGTGTTTTGCTCAAAATTATTAACAGGTGAAAGAGACTGTTCATTCTGAGCTCCCCTTCATAGACTCTAAAGAAGAGATCAATTTACGAAACAGCTAAAATAATGTTTACAAGACATCTTAAAAATATCTAGTGGTATTAAAATAGACTGTGTTCCATTGTGACTCATGTTTTCAGAGATGCTGGATATTTTCGAGGAATGAGACTCAGACATCTAACTGTCCTGATAAGGGCACTGATAAAGTTCTCAGCCTGCCCGCTGGTACTGCATACCATAACATCCCACCAAGTCCTGGCCACACTGAGCTTCCTTGTCAAAACACATGTGTAGGTACCAATGGCCATAAACAAGGCCTCCAGGAGTCAGAGGGCAAGAAAACAAAAGCAGAGGTGAACACGCGTTTTATTGTCATCAGTGATGGAGTTGTTGGAAGAGATTCCTGTTCTGAAATCCCTTCATTCTCTACATGCCATGTCAGGCCCTCTGTTTAGGATGCTGAATATAGAGAGCTGCCACTCAACAAGAGCACAGCAGACATGCATTTAAAACAGTATTAAGGACCAAACTGGCAGATGCTTCTAACAACAAAAGAAACAAAGAAGGCACTCAGAGGGTAGTGACAGTGGAACAGGTTGCCCAAGGAGGCTGTGGATGCCCCATCCCTGGAGGCATTCAAGGCCAGGCTGGATGTGGTTCTGGGCAGCCTGGTCTGGTGGTTGGTGACCCTGCACATAGCAGAGGGTTGGAACAAGATGATCATTGTGGTCCTTTTCAACCCAAGCCATTCTACGATTCTATGATGTCTCCTGCTGGAGAAAGCCTTAAGGACGTTCAGAGAAGAAAACCATGCTTCATTTCAAAACCAAACAAATTTAAGGCAAACAATGGGCACTCTGCCCAGAACCAAATCTCTACAACTTCACACATTGTTTACAAAACATTAAATAAAACCCCAAATTCTATGAAATCCAAAATTCCATGAAATCAAACCCCCAAGAGTTCAGTAAAGCACAACAACGGCTGCAGCACCAATACCATGTCATTACGGTCATGAAAACAGATACAAATGTAATCTGAAGGGGTTCATCTGGAACATGAGAAGCCGAGGTCTCATGCACGGACCAGTTACTAAATACAACTGCTTTCCCAGCTACAAAACGAACTTGCGAGTACACTTTCCATTTATTTTCACTTCCTTTCACCAAACCCCCATCTCCCCAGAAGGCACTTCGGAGGAAGGCAGCGGAGGGGCACAAAGCTCCGCAAATCGCGGATTACAACCCAAAGCCGCTCACTATCGGAGCGGGTGAGATGGGCAGAAAGCAGCCCGCACTTTGCCTGCGAAATCCTCCGGCCCCACAGGGAGGAATGATAGACAGCGACCGGGCAAGCGGGGAAGGACGGCGGGAGGCCCCGGGACCGCGCGGAGCAGGGACACAACACCGGGAACAAAGCGGCGAGGCGGGGAGAGGGAGACGGGCCTGGGTGCGGGGCTCACCCGGGCCTGTCGCTCCAGCTGGGTGTGGAGGCTGGAGCCCTTCAGCCGCTGCACGATCCGCGCTATGGTGAGGGAGAGCTCGCCGTCCTGCTCCAGCATCACGGTGCCGCCGAGCCTCCGCACCGGGCCGCTCTCCCCGCAGCACGGCGCCACGCCCCGCCCGCGCCGACGTTACCGGGCAACCGCGCGGCGGCGGCCGGGCGGAAAGCGGCGCCACGGTGAAGGGTTCCGCCCCGACCGACGGGACCGGGGGGGGACGTGGCGGCGGCAGAGCCGCTCAGCGCCCTGCCCTGGGCGTGGGCTGCCGCCTAGCCCTGGTGTGTACCTCTGGCCCACCAGGCAGAAACGCGATCCTGCACCTGTTTCCTAAGTGAGGCCTTCTAATATGACTCAATTGGAGATAAATTGGAAGTATAGGAAAGCCTGTGAGAAGATCCAGGGATTCTGCAGAATTGTAGAATCGTGGAACGGTTTAGGTTGGAAGGGGCTTCACATACATGAAAAACAACCAATTCCAAGGCCCTGCCGAGAGTGGGGCTGGCACCCAGCAGGTCAGGCTGCTCATCCAGTCTGGCCTTGAACGCCTCCAGGGATGGGGCATCCACAGCTTCTCTGGGCAATGTCACTGGGGCTCACAGGATCAGCCCCCAGCCAAGTCACAGAATCCTAAGTGTTGGAAGGCACCTGTGGTGATTATCAAGTCCAACCTCCTGCTAAAACATGTTCCCTGCAGTAGGCTGCTCCTTGTTCTGTTGCTGCACACCACTGGAAAGAGTCCACCACCATCCGCTCGACTCCCATGCTTTAGATTTTTACAAAGTCAGGCTGGATGGGGCTTTGAGCAACCTGGTCTAGAGGGAGTCGTCTGTTGTAGTGGCTGGGTTGGAATTAGTAGGAACTAGATGATCTTAAAGGCCCCTTCCAACCCATCCTGTAATTCTATGAGGCACTGATGAGATCCCCCCATCAGTCTTCTCCCAGCCAAACAGTCCCAGGTCTCTCAGCATAAGGGAGATGCACCAGGCTGCTCAACATCTCTGCTGTACTCTATAAGTTCCTTGTCTTTCTTGAACTGAGGAGCCCACAGCTGGACACTGCACTCCAGATGCAGCCTCACCAGGGCAGAGTAGAAGGGGAGGATCACCTCCTCTTAACCTGCTGACCATTCTCTTTTTTAACGCACCCCAGGATATCATCAGCCTTATATAATTGGCCACAAGGGCACACTGCTGGCTCATGGCCAATCTAGTGTTCACCTGGACACTCAGGTCCTTCTCTGAAGAGCTCTTTTCCAGTAGGTCAGCCCTTAACCTGTACTTGGGTACGTGAGCAACCTCACACTGGGTGCTGCAGCTGAGCTTTGCAGACAAAATGGCCTCATTCCTGCAGCCAGCATGAACGCCTTAGCTTTATGTGTATACCTGAGTGGTCCTCCAGTTAAGGTGGGCTGGTGGCAGCATGTGTAGCTGCTGCTGCTCCCTACTCACCATCCAACAGGCCTGGGGGACTGGCTGTGAGCATTTCACAGCTGGCTCAATAGTCACTTAAAACAGCATTTTTGTCATCGTTATTTAATGCTTAATTAACCTGTTTTCCTTTGCACTGGAAAGGACCAAGCTTTCTAATTCAGTGATTCTATCAGCGCTTCAAGGCAGAATCTTCTTGAACTGTTTCTCAGCTGGAACTGACACAACTTCCAACCCATGTTAGAGCAGTCAGAAAGATTAGCTTGAAAAAGAAACTTTAGCTGTGATTTAAGTGTCTTATCACTAGTGTGAGGTAGCTGGATTCACACCCTCAAAGCTTGAGAGAGAGCTTAAAATGCTACTGTCACATGCCTGAGGTATATTTTCTATATTCTATGCTATATTTTCATACCATATACTGATAGTATGAAAAGCAACCTCAGTTACACAGCTTTTTTTAATGTGTGCTTCATGGGGGATGATCTGAGGTAGTAGACCTGTGCTCCAGTAAAGCTTTATTGCGATCTTGAATATTTTACCCTTGTGTGCTCTGTAATTGAAGCTCAGTACCAGGAGCTAATACAGCCTTCATTTAAACAGGACAGCTGTGTAGCACCAGGTGCATCACACTGGCTGGTGTGAATGTAAGGAGCTTCAGCCCACATAACCCTTTTGGGAAAATCTATTCCTATGTACATCACCATGTAATCAAATTCCCACTTAGTAACCTAATTTACTAAGTCAAAATATTAATTCAGAAAACCCCAGAATCATTAATCAGCAATCTAAGAGACTTTTAGGAGTTAACATGGAAAAGCTGAAGACTGACTTCCAGAGTCAATAATCAGTATTCATTTTCAGCTCTGAGGATGACCATATCCTTCTAAAACACAGATTTTCTAACATTCTAAAGTATTGGTAACGTCTTCATTGCTGTGAGCTTTGCAAGTGAGCAAAGAAGCAAGGAAATGAAGATAATTATAATCGAAGATAATTGTAATCAGTTACCTTGCTGATGAGAAAAAATCAGTAGATGTAACAGGTATAAAAACACATCTGAGCTCATCTCTCTGCTACCTCTTCTGACTTCTCTGAAAACTTTTCTAGATGAAATGAAGTTTAAAGGAATACAATAGAAGGCCAGAGGTCAAAGTTCCTTAACCAACTGCTAAATTGAAATGCTAAGGGCAATTCCCTCCTCAGTTCACAGAGAGACAGGGAAATCATATGCCCAGTTGTCTACCAGTGCCTTGAATACTTTCAGTTTACATCAGATTTTTTATCAGTTCTTTGCTCACAAACATATGCAAAGTTAATGGCAACAGTAATTAATCACATTTGCTTTTCTCCTTGTGTTGGGAGTTAACAGGATGTTGGCCTACGTTTCCAACTGAACAAGAATATAAAGTGTAATAGTTTTGCATGCTAGTTTAGACTAAAATTCTGCGAAGGGTTTATGTGGAGACAGTTCCTTTGTTGTTGTTGAGGAAGACCATTTGTTTCTGTAGGAACATCTGCTTCGAGAGGTACAAGAAAAAAACCACTGCACTTATGCCATTAAGCTCCAGAGCTCAATACCTATAAGTTCAGGCTTTTACACTGAAGGTGCAATTAGTGTGTAAGGAAGCCTTACTCCTTTACCTGGCATAATGCTCAGCTGTAAATGAATGATTTCCTACAGCTGGCAACCTCCACTCTAAACCAGTCTTTGTCACCTTCACTCCCACATCTGTCACTATCTATTCCTTGTTTTTCACAGCTATTTCCAATCTGTTTTCCTTCCTCCTATGTATTGTTTTTTCTCCTGCCAGTTACGTCTCCGGTATGAGTAGGAAAATTGTGTCTTATAAATGCCAATCAAAGCTAGAAAGCAAGGGAATATGGAGAGATTATTTCTACAGCATCTAAGTGCTCTTAACCGCTTTGTGTGCATCCTTACCATATCCAGTTAAGAAATCTCATGCTTAAGTGCTTGCTTCTTTTTTGTTTCCTTACAAGGAGCTTAAGCATAGCAGCTTGAGAAATATAGGGTCATTGTTAAAAAATATCACTTGAATAACAGTCGTTGGCAGATATCCCATCATGAATGGCATTCCCCTTACCCATCCCCACTAGATGACACAACTAGTTTAACTTTGTCGATGTGGTAAGTATTGGGCCATTCCTGCTTTTTCATTGTGATTTACTTTTAAATTTCAAGCAGGCAACTGCAGTACAGTCAACATAGAATTGCTTTATGATGTGCAATGCCACATACCAAAGGTAGCATGCTGTTTTTGGCAGATCTGGTGTGTCGGTTTTCGTTTGCTTTTTGTTTGTTTGTTTGTTTGTTTTCTTTTGGTTTGGCTTTTTACTTGGTTGGTTTTTGTGGAGTTTCTCCTCTTCATCCTTATCCTACACCCTGAACACTAACTTCACCATCATTTCTCACCTCTAGTACGGTTTCATTGCTCTATAGTTTAATACATCTTTCTTTACTGTGCTTTGTACTGAGTTACTACAGTTTGCAGTAACTGATATAGTATCCCAACTGGCTTGTATTTATCTGCCAGTGCAGGTCTGGAAAACATCGAGAATTTGGCAAGGGAAAGTAAAAATAGCAAAGTCAGTAGCTAAAATATCTCATCCATAGTCTCTCCCTCTTTTCCCACTGGGGTTTATTTTGAGAGAAGGAGGGAAACTAAATCAACAGATCATACATGACACTGTCATTTTTAAGGCCACGTGAAACAACTTACATTTTAATGCTTCCTCGTAATTCTGAAGAGTACTTTCTTTCCAGGAATGTATGTAGGTTGCCTCCTTTTATTTCCATAGAAACTACAACAGATATGAAGAGCACAGTAACACCATTAGCTTTGCATTTCTGCCAGCAATGGACAAGAGCCCACATGCTGCACTCCTAAAAGTCTGTAGCACTTATGCTTCTACCACCATTCTGACCAATTTATGAACATTTAGTATGATTGTAATTTAGTCAAACTGTGACTTGCATAACTGCATAGTTTTACCAACAATAGCACAAAGAGGAAGGCATGTGAGAGTAAAAGAATGCATGAGTTGCCTTCAAGCATTTCTATTTTCTGTTGTTTTTTAATTGTTATTATTTAAAATCATTTTTAAGAGATAGTTCAAATGAGAGAGGTCTCCTGTGATCACTAACCTAAGGGGTACAGGAGGTTTGCCACTACTGTCATAGAGTTGCTAAGAAGTCTTTTTGTGGAATTTGATGTCTCATCTCTTTTGAAGTGCCATCATGCCTCTAATGCAGGCAGAAATTTGCTTGTGAGTTGAAAGTGTCAAGTTCAAGTAGCTACTCCCTGGGTTTCTCATTCATACAGGTTGTTTCAGAGAATAACATTCAGTCCTTCGCTCAGTGCGCTCACTCTTTATATTGGACTATTGCAAATTGAGCTTTAATCTCAGTTGTGGTCCAACATCCACTGGTTTTCTTGTGCAATCAGAACCAGGATATATCCCTTATAGCTGATAACAGAGAAATGTAACAAAAACAACAAATGCAAGGAATATTAAATTTCTGTCAGTGACTCATTCTCATCAATTTTAAGCTTTATTTAAATTGCTGCCCCAAAAATGGCAGTACATTTTGACAAGTTTCAATAATTTTTTAAAATAATCAGTCCCTGTGGAGTAATGAGATTTTCTTTGCCCAAATACTG